ACCTCCTCCTCCGCCGCTGCCTGACAGCCTTCACTTCTCCTCGCCTGCCTGGCGGTCCTCGCTCCCGCCAGCGAGCATGGCGACCCACCAGCTGTCCTTCTCTGAGCTTCCTCACCAACCAACTCTCATTCTGCCCATCTTCCTGAACAAGCAACACCTCCTCCAGCAAGCTCCACGCTGGCCCCTCACCACACGGCACCTCCAGCACCAGACTGTCTATCATATAACTTATATTATACAAGAAAACCACATTAGAGTTTCCTTCCATCCTGAGTGCTAGACAACATTAATATCTCGATACCCCTACACCATACTGTGGTGGATATATATATATATATATATATATATATATATATATATATATATATATATATATATATATATATATATATATATATATATATATATATATAGAGAGAGAGAGAGAGAGAGAGAGAGAGAGAGAGAGCCAGTCAGTAGCGAAGAGGATAAAAAATTCTTTTATAAAAGTGTCCCAGGGAGTGACAGTGTTCCAGGGAGTGCCAGAGTGTCACAGGGAGTGCCAGTTCCAGGGAGTGCCAGAGTGTACAGGAGTGCCAGAGTGTCCCAGGGAGTGCCAGAGTGTTACAGGGAGTGCCAGAGTGTCCCAGGGGTGACAGTGTTCAGGAGTGCCAGAGTGTCACAGGGAGTGCCAGAGTGTCTCAGAGAGTACCAGAGTGTCACAGGGGAGTGCCAGAGTGCCCCAGGGAGTGACAGTGTTCCAGGGAGTGCCAGTGTCACAGGGAGTGCCAGAGTGTCACAGGGAATGCCAGAGTGTCTCAGGGAGTGCCAGAGTCCATGAGAGTGCCAGTGTCTCCCAGGGAGTGGCAGTGTTCCAAGGAGTGCCAGTGTGTCACAAGGAGTGCCAGAGTCCGTGAGAGTGCCAGAGTGTCCCAGGGAGTGCCAGAGTGTCTCAGGGAGTGCCAGTGTCCCTGAGAGTGCCAGTGTCTCAGGGAGTGCCAGTGTCCATGAGAGTGCCAGTGTCCCAGTATACTGCCAGACTGGGGGTCACTAATACTAAGGGTAAATACTTAACTCTACTCTTAATTTCTAAGGGTCGCTGCCACCAGACCCCCTCTGGACAGCATGTAGCTCGTTAGGTAGCGTGCAGAGTGGACTAGGCATTGGGTTAGGTTTTCCATTGACCAGATCGATAAGGGGAAAGAAGGGTGAAACCATAACATGTCTTAATTAATTTATTCCTTATAAAGCATACTGGTAAAAAACATACACATGAATGGGTCTTCCTCGGAAGAACAACGAAAATGTTGGTTACCCAGATGGGCACCAGACTCTTACATTAATGGCGTGTCATCCACATACTTATTGCATAACAATCTGTGACCACCTTACCTCGGTCATTCCTTCTTACACTATCCCTTAGCACATCAGACTGCTCCACCTGTGTGGAATATAGCACCGTCGGTTATCATACATAGTAGCACCATCTCAACACACATGTTACACTCCATACCTGCAGGTATGGGACTCCTTGTGACTTTTAGGTATACACAACAGGCACCTCGTTCGCACACCGCCCTCGGTGGGTAGAGACGAGGGCTTCACCCAGACATACCAGCACTATTTCTACGCCTGGTATTATAGGTCGCTCCAAGTGACGACCGCAGAGTTTCTCACGGTCTCCTTATTTGTGACTACTCATTTGGAGTGGTGTGCTGGAAATCCACAGGTTCACAGTGGATTGGCATAGCTGGGAGTAGTCACCACCTGTTGGGACGCTCATAGGGATAATGGCTGCCAGGCAGCAAGGCACTCCGACGGCATGGAACCTGAGGCGACGGTAGAACGGAGGGTACCGAGAAATAATGCCTGACGGGCAGTTATCACACCCCCTAACACATTACTATTACACTTATATATCAGGCAAAGCTTTAAACTGTAATAACTTCCATATAAGCCATAATTATAGGGCGGGATATAGCCCGATAGGACACTGACCTGAGGTGACGGTAGAACAGAGGGTACTGAGGGCAGTGCCAGCCGCTCCTCACAGCATAGGCCTACAGTTTCCAATCTTTAATTTTTACTTTTATTTCTTACGGTTCTCACCTGAACACTTTTCGGTATATTGTCACTCATGCCGTATAAACACATATTTTAATCCTAAATTACACACTAAGGTAAGGTCTTGGTTTGCTAGTTCGTGGGTAAATTCATTGAGTTATAATATCAACTTGGCACACCCGAGGCGGGTACATGGCACGCCTTGAAACAAAGGCTGAATGTTCATGGCGGGGGTGTATCAACTTCACTTAAAACTGTAATGAGGGATCCTCCTCTCACACATTGCACTATTTGAACACAGACATAAGATTCTCTGATCACTGTACCTGTCGTGTGTATATGTCACGGGAGGATACGAGGTGTATTAAGTTCATACCGACGCATACAAGATATTTCCTTTCAAGTATAGTTTCTGGGTCACTTCCAACACCTCACATAGTTCTGATACATTTATCCTTTTTCCAGATCATTGTTCTCATGTATTTTCATATGATATCTGTGGAAGCTATGTTCGCTACACGCTCACAGACGTAAATACAGTAGTATGACCTTCAAACCCTGATCCACACTTAGTCCTACAGTACACTAGTCCGGCTCAACTGGACTTTAACATTCATCTTATGGATACCCTGAGTTCTCCTTAATGCTATGAATACATACAATTAATATGATATAACTGTACCTGAGTACAATACAACACATGGTCTAGTAACATTGAGTAGGTGAGTTGTCCTTTATCAATGTTTCCCGTTTTCTGAGGTTCTACAAGCGCGGTGGATTTGAATGTTATATAGCGTAATATGAATTAAATGGGGTTTTTAGGAATGACAATAATGTGCGCAGTACACCAGGGAGTGCCAGAGTGTCTCAGGGAGTGCCAGTGTCTCCCAGGGAGTGCCAGAATGTTCCAGCATATAGGTTATCCCACAGCAGAAGGGCGGTAGTCTACCAAGGCATGGTGGACCAACAAGTAATCCAACCTTCCTCATCACCATGGAACTCGCCATTATTCCTAGTTCCCAAGGATAGAAAATGGAGACCGGTCATTGATTTTCGACGAGTCAACCAGGCAACTGTACCAGACAGGTTCTCAATGCCTGTTCTAACTCACTACAGTCTCTATGTAAAGACAACGCCGTCTTCAATAACCTAGATTTACTTAGCGGGTACATTCGTTAACCGAAACCATTGTTTCAATGGGTTTTTGGGTAATTGGTTCCAGCTCACCGAAAATTACATACAAACTAAAAATGGGGAGCTGGTGGTAGAGCGGTACCGTTCTTGCCTTGCAAGCAAGATGCCACGGGATCGATTCCCTGGCTGGCAGAAGTTGTTTGGACACTCTTCCTCATCCCCTTGGTCCCTGTTCACCTAGCAACAAAGTAGGTACCTGCTGTAAATCGTTAGTTGCGAATTCGTATTCAGGGACAAGCTGTTGGAGCTTCCAATAACTTGCTTAGACATAAACCATTGACTCTTCAGGCTTCTATGCCCTCGACTCTTCAGGCTTCTACGCCCTTAACTCATGAGACATAAGGCAAGCATGAACTTAGCATGCTTCTCTGTTGGGCGCTGTAAACACTTCTGCGCTTCACCTTACACAAGGATGTAGGGGAGTGCTCAATAAATGAAAAAATAAATAAATAAAATAAATAAATAAATGCATTAAAGTACACTTACTTTGAGGTGTGCGTGTAGAAGGCTCCTAGTTGATGATGATGGGAATTAGAATGAGGGTGCAGGAGAAGAGAAGGCATTGGGGTGGAAGAGAAGTCACCCATGCCGCCATTTCACCCATCAAATTTTAGTTCACAGTGTAATTCAAGATTATTTTCTTTAAATCAACACTGCACTGCATAAAATATTGTCAATATGTAAAATAAACTTCAAAATGACCAATAATTTGACTGGAAACACAGAAAAAAAAGCATTTATGTTGAAGAGTCAAACAAGATGTTCCTTCCTCTGAGCTGGTAAACAAACTGATACCTACCTTGGTGTGTTAAGTGGCTGTTTGGCGCGCAAGAAACTAGTTTCCTGTACTTTAATTATGTTCAATATAATTGTTAAAATGACTAAAAAATTTAATATAAAACTTTTAAATTATTGAATAGTACAACCTTCTTGATATTTACTAAAATGGTAATGAATTTAAGCCCTAGAACCGATTACTGTATTGGCGGACTAATACTACAGCTGGTGAGCAACCAACTGAAAGCGAAAACATGTTTGGAAAAATTCGTAAGGAATTCGTTAACCGAAATTATTTCGTTAACCAAAGTGAAGAATCTTATGGAAGGTAATTCATTAACCGAAATTTTGCTAATCGTGGCGTTCGTTAACCGAGGGATCACTGAATATATGTTTTGGAATGATGTGAATCCTCCAAGGTTAAATCGAGAGTTCATTACTGCATATCAGATTCCATTACATGGAGAGTATACTGTATTTGCTTAGTCACTCTTCATAAATTGGACATTGTGAACAGTAGGCATATTGTGACACTCGGTAGTATTAAGAATGAAACACCATTACTACAAAGTAATGGTGAAATGTCCGTTTTGCAGTCTGTCTCAGTCTCAATTATGATGTTCCGAAACACTTCCATTTAATGCATATGTCAGTGTTATTGTAATCATCAGCATGATTCATACGTTAATACTCTATAGATTAATGGATTTTTTTATATTAAAGTATCTAGTTTGCCATACAGGACAACTCCCTCCCCCATTCCTACTCCCATCTCTAGCCGTTTCTGATATGGTGAACAGACGTACCAATGTATGATGATGCACTGGGGATCATATCAAGCATTTCGTCTAGCGTTTCAAATTGCAATTGCGAAAAATCCAACAATGCTTTTTGGGGAACTGTAAAACACATACATATGTAAACAACAACAAAATTGATCAATGCTACTGCTGTGGCAGCAAAAATAGGCAATTAAAAAAAAATTGTTAACTTTCCCTAAAGTATTTTATTAGCCGATCCATACAGGTGTTCAAAACCCTAGAGAAAACAAAAGTACACTGGCAGCTGGCTTGGGCTGGGGGACTTTAGTTAGTTTCTATAAGATCTCTTACATTTTGACATTTCAAAGTTGCAATTATGAATAACATTTCAAAAAATATCAAAAGCATTATACAGAAACTGGAGGATGATAAGTTTATGAGTTAATGGAATTTATCAGAAACCTAGAATAATGTATATTTATAATAAAATTTTGACGAACTGTGAGCTGTAAGTTATTAGTTATGGATGGAAATTGTTAATGGTGACTGCCTGCCTTATCCACAAATAAAACATTGAGTAAGGGTAAACATTTCAGACTTTACCTTGGTATGTTACTACTCTTTCAGAAACAGTTGGGCTTTGTATATCAATCAATTCATTCAACAAGTCTAAATTCACCTATGTTAGATATGATAACAAAGCAAATAATTAACAGTCAATTTTTTATGAGAATCACTGTTTAGGCAGCCAATCACCCTTCAGATCCAATAACCCATACTTAGTCATCTTGACAGGATGCCTTGAATTAATGGCATATTATGTATGCAAGTTCCAGAGTTTAGTTATTAGCACAGGCATTGTGGATTGTTCTTTGTTACCAATAAAATATACAAGTGAATTAGAATTATGGCAACTTGTTTCACACAATTCACAATGCCCCTACTGTTCTGCAACCATAAGGACTCCCCTGACTCGAGAGCTCAAACCTTAACTGGAGGCTTCACCTAAACTGGAAGTGCGAACTGAGGTAATGTGCAGACACTTGGTTGTCAAGACGAGCCAATAATTTTCCTAGTCTATCATTTCCTCGCGCAAATACTTATACCCTGTTCACAAGAACAGGAACATAAAAATACCCAATAAGGCACAGATAAGATGCTACAGTTTGGCAAAAATTAACCACACTGGGGGCTAACAGTATCAAAAACAACAGGTAACACTGTAATCCTGAATCAGGCAACAATGTCAACCCATCATCATCTGAATGACACCAATGTCAAGCTGTCATCAGCTGAGCCAGACAGGACTGCCATCAGCTTTTCCTGCCAACACGGCTATCAATTGTTTGGGCTCAAATCTGCTGAACATTAAATCTGCAGCCTGTTTGGCTCTCCTTTTTTTTATCAAGCACAAAAAAATTCATAAAATACAGATCTAGGAGAGTCTCGGGCATCTACGACCCAAAGGCAGCAGTTAAACAATCAGGAGGGACTTGGCCATCGTCTTATAAAGCTCTATACCACCGGCTTCAACACTTCCACCTCTTGTATCTTGGCATTGCACGATTACAATTTCCTCCGGCCTCGAGTTTCACGTAACACGTACCTGTTGTTCTGACCGTTTCCCATTACACCACTTAAATTCCTTAAATAAACTTACCCTGACTTGCAATGAGTACCACCTAACAGAAACAAACAAGAGAATAACAGCAGTCATCACAGTATCAGAGGAAATATACCAGGATTATCAGAAACATGCACTCGCCTCACATTATTCACTACAATGGGTGGGCCAAGCTGGACTCTTCTCTTCACTAATATGACTTTCAGATATAAAAATCTTATCTCAACCACTCAAAACTTGTTCCTTGAAATACATGAAGAGTAGCCAGAGGGGTGCCCTACCCACCCCTGCCCCTCTAAGCATAGTGTTTCTCCACAAGCAAAATTAATTAATAAATAATATGTATATTTGCTCATGACAAGATTCTTATAAAACTTGTTACAATTTTCACCTTGTAAACAAACAAAATATAGTTTTATAGACTCGTAAGTTATAACTACCAACTTGCAACTTGAAATACAGTATGTGAAGTAATATTTATGAATTAAGATTTTCATCTTTCAAACAAAATGTTTATAGACTCTGTTATAAATATTTTTTGTGACCCAAAATTCAAGTAAATCCAACGCCCTACAATCTTCTGGTTGGCAGACTCATTATGTATTTCAAACACACAAAAGCCTAAAAAATTTGTTGAAACTGGTTTGATTAAAATTTCTCGAGGTACTTCTTTGCTCTGAGTATAAGGGCAAGACTGCATCATCTGTGAAACAAGTTTATCCTATGACGTTGGCCGAGAACAATTACCATTTTGACAAAGAGATCCTATAAACCTTGTAGTGCGCACCTCCATGATCCCGTCCCCTCCCCTCCCCCTCATCAGTCTCCCTCTCCCCGGTCCCAAGCACCCACACAATGTGCCACCTTGTAAAAATGTTACCCAGGATTAGATGCTGGTAATAATAGTCAAAATTTTTTATTACAATAATAGAACAGAAAAGCCTGATTGTCAGGCAACAATGTAGAACCACACTACGTTGGCGGTTCAAGAATGACTTGCGTCTCAACAAGGGAACGTGAGAGCTGTGCAGCACCTGGAGGTATTTCCATACTAAATATGTTTCCTAGGGCAGTGCTCCTCATGTAATGAGTTCTTACCCCAGGGTGGTACTCCTTCACTGCCATGCCCTGTGTCCAATATTTACATATAGTCATCCAGGTCAATGTCATTGAATTCTTCTTCCAGGTCTGCTAGCTGTTGTAAGTCAACCTTGTAGCGCAAGATCCCTGCCAAAGAATAGCAAAATTAACAATAATCCTCACAATGGCATGTGGGAAGTGATACAAACATGTCTTATATAAAAAGTGTTTAACATTATGATGTGCCACAAATGTTAAGAATAATTTTTTAACAGTGAGATATACAGTAAAAACCCTGAGTACCAAACCACCTGAGTAATGACATGTTTCAATAATGTCACAAATCAGGGAAAAAAAATTATATATACAGTATATATAAAAAAAAAATCTTATGGGTCGTTGTTGTGGAGCGAAACGCCGTGGAAAGTGTGGTCCAGCCAGCATCACAAGACAGCCGCTACACTCATCTATGTATTGGTATTACTTAGTGCTAGTATTCCTGTTCTCTCGTGACATATAAATAACACATACTGTGAAAACATTGCCCAAACAATTATGTTCAGTTAAGGTTGGCTTAATTCCAGCATCACCTAAAGGATGGCTCAAGGGCAGAAGGAACTATTTATTCTACATAAAATATGTATTACAGTATTGTACTTTATGATGTGGTATGTATTATTTTCATTGTTTACTATAGCAATTTTTACTCATTTTTAGATTACGTAAATTGTAGAATAACGAGGGATTTGAATCTATTCCCTTTTACTCCTAGCCTTTAAGAAATACTAGGTATAATCCTCGACATAATTTGCAGCAGGACAAGATTAACGAGTCTTTGCCATGACCACCACAACTGACACTATGAACAATGTTGCCAACTGAAACTGAATTCCTGCCAGTTACCAACTCCTATGAAGATAAAATAATATACTGTATACCAGTACTAATAAATGTGAAGAATAAATAAAACCAATACTGATAAATACAAAAATAATGTACTGGCATTTGGCTGCTTGACAACGAAATTTGTCAATCATTTCACTACACACTGGAGACAACTCACAACAGCCAAAATCCTCACTCCCCACAGCATGGACTTTTTAACACATGAAGACAGTTTATTCCCATTTATGTCTTTGACGTTTGTTTTCATATTCTGTATATAAGATTGTGTGAAAGTAATAGTAAAAAAATAATAATATATATATATTTACCCAAAATTACGAATTTAAAAATACAGGCATACCTCGGATTACGGAAGGGTTCCGTTCCTGAAAATATTTTTGCATCGCGAAATTACCTATTGTGGGAAGCTGCCTCTACCTATCCCCTAGCAACAGTGCCCAGCTGGGATGCTGCCTCAACCTTTCACCTAGCAACAGAGCCCAGCTGGGATTCTACCTATCACCTAGCAACAGTGTCCTCCCTGCTCTAGCGTGCAAAGAAATGTTTATTCCGATTATGGGCTTGACCTTGGGATAATTATTTCTTAAACCTCTTTTTTTTCTTTTTTTTGCACAATATGTATGTGGGATTGTGTGTGCATGTAACTGTGTAAAAAAGATTATGCAAGTTATGTATTGTATATCTACCCAAAATTACGAGGTGAGAATAACCATAACAACCTCACATCTCCGCCTGGTAGCAAGAAGACTTGGGAGATGTGGCTAGTGACGAGTCGGCAACAATGTCGCAAATGAAAAGGAAGATATCTGTAAATCTTCATTTGTATCATGTATTTGTAATATTTGAAGTGGCATGTATAGTGAATGACAGTCTGCTCTTCATGCAGCAAAATGTATGATTTTTAACCCCCAAAAATACTGTGAGCATATTATTCGACCCCTTACTTTTTGCATAAAAATTTTGTAATAAAGACTTGAACTGTACTTGCATATACACGGTATACTGTACACATCCACATCATACACTTTATCTCACACTGCCAAGGCCATCCATGCCACATACACAGCTATAACAGGACTCGGGTGATTAAGCTTAAATAAGCCAATTTGTGTTAGTGTAATATGCTGGCTAATGCTTTAAACAGTTGTGCCTCCTTGCTGATATGAACATCTGAATAACAGATTCCGTCTGAGTAATGACGTCACTGTGGCTTAATTAATCTGGTACACCGGGTTTTTACTATACAAGTAGTGTTTAATTAAAATATTATGTCCTGAACAAGATGGAAATTTTCTTGTTTAAAGATTTTTTCACAATTATGATGAACCAAACCAAGGATTTCATTATAACTCTACACAGTTACATCAGAGTTTTCAGTTGAACTGACCACCTGCTAAACTGAGCAATATAACCAGTGTCTATCTGGACAAGTTCACACAGTCTCCAGAAAGTAATCTTCAACTGTCTGTTTTGTATGAAGATTTACCATAAGTAAGCTATGGATGGGCCCCATGATCCCCTCTCTCCCTAAATTTTCTTTGGATCTTCTGCCAAACACTTAATGAAAACCCTAATGATGAGTTACATATTAAGTCAAGTATAGTGTTTCCACGCTAACCTGGCCCATAAGCCACACCCCTCTTCTACAGCAATAGCCGATTGGTTCATAAAATATTCAAACTGTGTACACAATTGGTAAGCATACCTGTTCTTATCTAAAATAATGTTAAATATCTGAGCTATCAAAATGCAGATGATTTCAAGGCATTAACACTTCACAGAGGATGTTTGAAAAGTGAAAATATTTATCATAAAAGGTCAATATAAATATGCGTTTATATAAGCGCAGTCTGGGGGGGAGGTAAATAGCTCAACTAATTGGCTATTTGTAGCTATAGACGAGGAGCGGGGCTCATGGGCTGGCTTAGCATGGAAAGGGTATAGTTAGTAGAGCACACTGACTACAGTATACATGTATATGGTGATCAAATGGACACACTAATGAGTTAGTCAAGTTCTTAGTCAATATAGCAATGACTGCATGGTAATCAAGAACAATACTCTACAGACTACATTTTCTTTGTGTCAGATTTACCTCACATGAGAACATAACATCAAGATAATGTTGTACACTATAGTATTATTATTGTCATCACCAATGTTTTACAGCCATTTTACATGCTTGGATGAGTTAATCACCATTACCCGAAGGCAGCTTTTAAAAAATTATTAAACAACTAAGTATTTGAGTTTTCCATCCCTTATTAACTGACAAAACATTTGTTATTTATATGAAACACAAGAAACAGTGTATACATTAAATTTACTGGCCAGGTAAATACAGAATATATATACAGTGGTTTCTCGGTTAACGAACACAATTCGTTCCAGAAGGTCGTTCGTTAACTGAATCCATTGTTTCAATGGTATATATATATATATATATATATATATATATATATATATATAAACACAATAATGCCACCTGTAAAAAAGCTATTTAATAAAAAATTCTTACAGTACAAACCAATTTGTTTTTAATATACTGTACATGCAACTTTTCATACAAAGTATCTAATGTAATATCACAGCAAACCTCAAACAATTTAGTTCATCTCAGTAAACACTTTGGTAACACATTAGATAATGCTAACCCTTAAGGTCAGGGGCCACCCTCTTTTCCAAGCCAGGTAACAAAACAAGTTACTGAACACAGGTTATACTTCCCACAGTGATAAAGGGTTAAATTATTAGACAGGATGTCACAAGGTGGAGAAAAACTTACCTTAAAAACTATTAAAAAAACTAACATAAATGGGGAGGTTTAACACATGAGAAGTAAATTCACTCAACCATTTCACTGACTGACCCGAAAAAATTGAGGTAAACATTTAAATGTAATCATCGAGGTTTACATCAAGTTCGCTCAGTTCTTCCATGTCATCCAAACCTTGTAGGTCCACCTTGTAGCGGAGGATGCCTAATAGTACAAGTATAACAAATGTTAAACATGCTGAAATATTTGAGGGAGAAAAGCACAATTATAATACAGCTGCCTCTCAAATTACTTGGCTTAAATTTATACGTTTTTGGCACATCGCTGGCATTGTATTCATACAGCGATATCCCGGTTAGCCGGAATAACCGGTGCAGAATGGTTCTGGGAATGGGAGATTTCCGGGTATGGAGATGAATTTCTCATCCAGGAAAAATTGCACATCCCCGGAATATTTCTCTCAAAGCTGGAAAAAAATCCCTCATCCCCGGAATTTTCCTGGTAATGTTAAAATGTTATCGGAAGTTCCAGAAACTGTTAGCCGGAAACCCTCAAACCCAGAACTCTCCAATAGCCGGAATTGAAGTTTTCACGGAAAATCGTTCCCAAAGCTGGAATTTTCCAGGTTTGGGAAAGATTTTCTGAAGGGCACATTTTCCGGAAAATTCTAAGAAGATTTTCCCGACAATCAGAAAATTCTGGGGATAGAGTTTTTCCGGGTTTGAAATAAAAATCGGGTGCATTTTCCAGAAATTCTGAGAAAAGCTTTCCGGGACCCAGAAAATTCCGCGGATGGGGGAATTTCTCCAGGTTCGAGAGACGATGTAATGAACAATTTCTGAAATTCCCAGCGTTGAGAGAGTCATCTCGTTACCCGGAAATCTCTCATTCCAGTTAGTGCTCTGCACCAATTGTTCCAGTTAACGGATATATATATATATATATATATATATATATATATATATATATATATATATATATATATATATATATATATATATATATATATATATATATATATATATATATATATATATATATATATATATATATATATATATATATATATATATATATATATATATATATATATATATATATATATATATATATATATACACAGGTTGACAATCCTTTATCCAGGACGATGGTTCTACAAAAGAAACTGAAGAAAATAAGACCCTGGTTGTAGCTGTAGTAAAATTAATGTAAAAAAATTAATAAATGTTTTAAGTTATGTTATTTCATGTGAACAAATGGAACAATAGAAATAGTTAACCACTAATAGTAAAGAAATAAAGTGAGGTGGATTGGAAATGCCAACATATACGTGGGCACTCAAGGAAACGTAGCGTCATTATATTATTAAGAATATGTAAAAAAGATTCATTATTGTTTCTTACTGAATATGTATTAAATTGAATTCATCTTTATATATACGAAATGAACAATACAATTCATTAATGCTACGTAGATTATTAAAACACACAAGAGGAGACGAGACGGCATTGTTGTTGTCAGTATTTACACCCGTGACGATGGTTCTACATATGAAACTGTGACTATTTATACTAGTGATGCTGTCGTCACAAGCCCAGCAGCCTTTGTGTGCATGGCGTGTTTTCCTTTTACAATACATATCAGGATTTTGTGATTATTTATATGAAATTTTTTTATTCTATTTTGTTTCATAAATACCTAGAAAATAATGGCATAAATTGAATTGGGTCCTAAATTAACCAGGGTCTTAAATATGAATCGTCGTTAGTAGAACCGTCGTTATTGGAGGATTTCTTGTACTGTACTTTGTATGTACTTTTTAATTTATATTCATAAGGTTCATTGCAGAAATATTAATGTGTTTGCTTAAGGGGTGCTGCCACGTTCCCGCTAGGGTGTTACCATAATATACGGAATATGTACAGTCGGGGTCAAATGTCTTGAACGCTTGACAGTATTTGGCATGTAAGTACCTGAAGATCTTAGGTATTAAGGAGAGTTTTATCCCATTTTGTGGTTCAGGCATAATATGTGATGACAAGTAGTGTTATTAGTATATCCCAATCATATATATACTGTATATATATAACTCAGAAGTAGATGCCAGATACTGTATTGCTAAGTGTTCAAGATTTTGGACCCCAACTGTACCTCACTACCATTCTGAAATCCAAAAAATTCCAAATTCCAAAACACATCTGGCCCCAAGGGTTTCAGATAAGGGATTGTGGACCTGTATTACAAAATTTTTTAAAGCAAGGGGCAGTCTTGCCAAAAATAAGAGCTCTCCAACCACTAGGACACATCACTGAAATGCAGTGACTAAACACCTTGCTACTATGACTGACTTAAGGCAACATAAAGCCCACCACAAACTTGGCTGTGGTCTGACAGAACTCTGCCTATTCATCGGAAAACAAAGGCGATTCCCCGAATTAAAAACAATTAAAAAAATTAAAAAATAAAATTAATAAATAAATACATTAATGTTACCAAGTTATGTAGTATGCAAAAAAAAAAGTTGCAAGGTTATGTAGGCATCTAACTCATAGTGACTCAATGGGAGTAATGATATATTACAGAGCATACCTTTATATCCCCCCCCCATGGGGGTACATTACCTTGAGCAAGGAATGCGCCTTGAGACAAGCACCAGTGACAAAAATCCACTGTGGTACAGAAGGGTAAATCACTTTTATGAGAAATAAGGATAGATCACTATGAAAACAACCTAACTGCTGCCTCTGAGCCCAGTTATTTCTCAAGGTGCACCTGAGTAACCTCCTGATATATATATTTTTGGGGGGACTTATATAAGTAAGTCGCCTCCATACAAGATGAAATTCAAAAGGCAACAAAATGTATCAAACATATTAAGAAACAGAAGAGCTGCTAAATCAAATGAAAGACCAAAACTTAACACAAAAACTGCATAATTATATTTTTAAATAAAATTATGAAAGAAATATTGACTTTTTTAAATAACTACAAGATGTACAATCTCCCTTTCTCTGAGTCGTGCAAAATGTTCCTTACCTCCAATTCCACCAAACCCTCGTACATATTGAGAGCCTTCTTGTGAGCGGTCTGTGATAATCTCCAAGGTTGCACCAAAGCTTTTGTAATTATTTGCCAACCACTCAAGTAATGGCATAGAGTCTACTAACTCCAATTCTACTCCAGTCTGAAAAAAGAAAAAAGTATAGTACTGTATATGTCTACTCTATTATTTACAAAGTTGTCCTTCTAAAGTTGTGTTGGGTGAATGAGTGAATGAAGGGGTAATGAACCTGAAAAGGGAAATAATAAGTGTGGCATGCAATTCTTGTGTAAAAGTGGCAATAACTATTTTTATTAAAAAATAAAAGCAAAACCGTTCAAAATTCAAACTACATTAATGATGATGCCTCATTTTAAAGTTATTGTGCATTTAACAATTGATTAGTTTGAGAATAAATACTTAAAGAGTAACTCCATAAGGTGAGCTTACAGCTTTGTCAGTAAAGTGAGTCTTGTCTTTTTCTTGTTCAGGAGTTAAGTGTAAAATAGTCTCTTCTCCAGACTGGTGGTTTTTCAACACATATCTGTAATAAAGGAAAGACTTAACAAGTGTATAATGAAGGAAGACAAAAATTATAAAAATAAATTTTTTTTTGTCCACTTTATTTCAAATTTCAAGCAAAACACAACAAGCACAAACCTCCATTTCGTCTAAGCTTTCAAATTTGTCTTTCCATTTTCCCTAACACTGTTTTGCATTCTATTTCAACTTATAAAGTAAAGACAACCAAAATATAATCACCCGCTTCAATGATCATTCAGCAAATTCCTATTTAAGACTAATAGAAGAATGAGTAAAAACACTTTCATGTAGGAAAAATACAGGGATTGCTCTAAGTGGTATGGACATTATGCAAGAACAGGGGAGACTGGTAAAAAGTGGATAATACAGAGGTAAATGCCAAGAGGGAGACAAAGAAGAGTGAAAGAAGTTCTGTATTAGAAGTTAAAGGAACGCACACTCGCTCCCAAATCTATCTTTACGATTTTGTGAGACAATATAATAAATAACGGTTGCCCCTCGTGTAACGTGGATGGCCGGCCCAAGGACCACCTAGGAGTGAATTTGTTTAAGGCGTAGAAGCCGTCGCCAACACAACAACCACACGCTAAGTTAACGAGCTGAGTGACCCAGTGTCAAGGAATAGTCCGAGAAGACCGGACAACTCGACAACTGCACTGGCTAACCATTACCCCGGAACACGCTCCGCAAATCGATTAACGTCCAGGTTCCCAATTACTGCTGGGTAGACAGAGGCAAATGGCATAAAGAAACTTGCCCACAGTTTCACCCTGCACGGGGATCGAACCTGGATCCACTCACTTGCGAGGCGAGCATGCTGACCGTCACACCACAGGTCACCACAAGACAATATGACAATGGACATAAGATTTTGACAACCCTACAGAGACAACAAGAGTAGCAGTGTTCATTTCAAAATTCATCAGACTCCACCCTAAAGATACTTCATGGAGTGAGTGTACATTCAGGATGCAGCAATATACATGAATAACAAGATAACTTAACTCCAAGTGGTTATAGGGGGTTTGGCAGTACAGGGATGGCCATAAACAAAGGGTGAAAGCGTATTTGCTCATGATTCTTGTCACTGTGCAGCACAGCATGAAAAAGCTTGAATGCACACCCAAACACACACACACACAAAAAGAGCGGGTTAAGGGGAAGAGAGCCACACCACCCCCCCTTCATTCACAGCCTCTTCAATTCTCTTAGGGCCTCCTACTTGCACACTAAACAAAACCTCTTACAGTGTACAGTATTATTCTCACCAGTAGAATGACTAGCATCTCAAACACCACTCACTCTACCATCATGCTGTACTTTAAAAAATTACCATAATATTCTGCCATTCAATGAGGAACAAATAAGTCACAAAATATGAAGTAACACTCCCATTCTTCCACTGCTTTCACTGTCTTAGGCTTTACCAATGTAGGAGTGACTCACCTGACAAGATCAAGGTTTTCCCAGCAAATGAGGATTTCAACGGCTCCACATTCAAGGGCTTTCAGCGTGTCCACAACACCAAAGCAGTACTTCCCCGTGTCTTGACTTATCTCTTCAAAGTACTTGGCTGTAAAAGGAGATATGACTATATATACTGCATTTATCACACAAATTAAGAAGATGGCCTTTTTATAAGTTGACCTATGAACCTTAAAATATATCCCCAGAGCTATGAGTCACCTTGTCTATGGAGTACAAAATATGAACCTTAAATTCTCAATAAATTTCAGAGTGAAACACATCAAAGTTGATGTAGATGAATGATATTTGGTGTAAATTGCCATCATTTTGAATCCTTTGGTTCAGTATTTACATTCTATAAATACTAAAAGTTATAAAAAGTTTGAACCCATTTAATCATAAAAGTCACCGTTGTGTTTTGTTCTTTTAGCTAAAGGTGCAATGAGAGTTAAGTCTAGCATTTAATTGGTTCTGAGGGTAAGGAGAGTTACTTTGAACCAGACCCATCAGTAAGTGACCTGCTCCAAATTAGTTCATCAATACGCTGTATTACATGTTATCATATAACTGTACAGTTCTTTATTATCAGTACAGTAGGGTCTCTGAATATGTGAGATGTATGTATGTATGTATGTATGTATGTATGTATGTGTATGTTCCACCAAGGTGTTATTGTTACTTGCCGCTGAAAAGATCATTTTAGTGAAAACTTCAAGTAATGAATAGAGTACATTGATGACTCTTGATATACTATGAGCTTTGTTCAACTACTTCTTGTAATGTTCATTTGAAACCGATTCCCCCCTTGTATTCTGATAATGGAATGGATACTCCCATCACAATGGTTTTCTTCTTCTCGTGAGCAGAATATTAAAGCATCTGTTTTGATACTCTACTGTATAAAGACAGCTGTAGTGAAGATAGCATTTGTTAACAACAACAATAATGACAATATGAACACTAGGATATACGATGAGTTCTTCACTTTGTCCACGTGAAGTAAATAATTAAGAGAATCATTAGCATTTAGAGGAATGTAAAGATAAAGTAAAGAAGTTGGATTCTGAGGTGAAAATATTTGGAAAATCCTTAATTCCTTACAACTCCAAAATGCTAAAAAAAAAAAAAACGACCACCACCAATAAAACAGAAAAAATATTTACCAATAAGTTTTTTCTCCTGGATGAATTTGACATTAGCAAGAGATTCTGCTGCTAGTTCGATAGCTTGGTTAAAGCCATTCTCACCTCCATATGATACATCAACAAGTTTTATTACTTTCCCCTGTAATCTCTGAAAAGAAAGATTTTAGGATACTGAAAAATTAATAATTTCTACAAGAACCTAAATTATAAGAAACAAAGCTTGATATACAGAGCAGAAATATATTAAATTCCCAGTTACACAATCAAAAAAATATCTTTAAAAATTTTTTTGCAAGACAATATGCCACAATGGACCAAAGATTTTGACAGCCCTACCAAGACAACTGGAGTTGCAGTATTCATTTAAGATTCATTGTACCAATCCAGAAAGATATTTCTTTGATTATCTGCACCATTATATGAAAATGACAGCTTTACAGTTTTATAGAAACAGCAACATATGTGCTACTGAGAAGAGAAACTCAGCAATGTACGTATTTAACATTTTTCAGCAAGACGACAACAAACAACAACAGTAAGAAGACCTCAGCTGGAGAAAATGGAAACGATGCTCAATGTGAATTGAGGACTACAAAAGAAAATGGCACATGTCAAGTGGCTGTGTGTCCCTGCTGATGGTGATTATTAAAAATACAGTAAATACTCCCCCCTCCCCATCTTCTTTTGAGTATGAATAGTGTGAGGGGTTAGAGGTAAAACAAAGATCAAGAATGTTAGTAAGTTGATCGTGTCAATCTGGAAAAAGAGACGGGTGGGGTTGTATGTGTGTGTGTGTGTGTGTGTGTGTGTGTGTGTGTGTGTGTGTGCGCACGCGCTTGGGGTTAACCGTGCAAATGAACCGCCCCTCAAGCACAGAACCTTCTACAATGGCAGCAGAATATGAACAAAGCGATCCAAGCAGATATGTGTGGCACATGGGGATGCATTGGAGTATGATGCAATCTCTAATGACACTTATGAACCTTATTATTTCACATATATATCCTGCCCATCTCTTTCTTGATCTTCTGTATTGAAAGGTATGAAAAAAATATTAATTTAAAATACATCCCCAATCATTAGCATGCATGAACAGGCACCTGAAAAACCCAAGATATGCTTCAATTGCATATACAGTACTATACAGCTTAAGCCTAGGACAAGACAGCATCAACAAAATTTCTTGCACAGTATCACAATTCTGTCTGTCTGGTATTTTCTGATTCTTAAAAATACTGCAAAAAATAAATTTTCAATATCTGTTATCACAGCATGTCACATGTTATTTTTGACCTGACCTGTATATATATACATATATATATATATATATATATATATATATATATATATATATATATATATATATATATATATATATATATATATATATATATATATATATATATATATATATATATATATATATATATATATATATATATATATATATATATATATATATATATATATATATATATATATATATATCAAAGTTTTATCCTCATCAATGGAAAATCATAGAGAATCACTGAAAAATGTCAAACCTATTAGTCTACAAGTCACTGAGAAATTACAATAGGCATTTACATAAATATTACATTCAAATGCAACACAATCTTTTCTTACTTGACTACAAATATCTAAACAAAAATTAATAGTGAAATAAATGAATATGATAACAAGGGCCATGGACACATACCTTTCATCAACTATATGCAAGAATTTATTTCCTTACTGCCAGTACATAAAGTATTACATGACTGAGCCAACTTACTGGGTCAAACATATCTGACTGGGATAATTCAGTTTTGAAGTCCGCTGAACCCGCTAGAACTAATCCAGCTATGTTGGGTTTATCGTTGGAGATAAATAGTTGCACTGCTGTCTCTGCTACCTGTTAGGAGTTATAAATTAGACATTAGCGTTTGTTTGAGTATCTCTGTTTAACGCTTGCTGTCTTAGTCAGGGCAAGATGGCATGTATTATCTTCCTCAAACAATTTTCTTACCTACTATGTGAAGCTGTATGTCAAGTATTGCTTTTTATTTCTAATAAAACAAATTCACCTTGCCAGTACAATCAGGTGACTACAGTCTACATCAAGAGTGTGAAAGGTGGGAAGCTGAAAAGTGTACATTGTCTGCTGCCCATGAGCACAAAAAACGATTTATTTTTACTTTGATAATTTTTCATGTGAAGGTTTTTCGAGACTCCTGGAATACTGGTATCCAAACAAATAGGCCCAAATTCAGAATACTGGTTTGAAACCACATGAAGGTTTAAACCAAGGATAGAGCAAAGATTGTTGGTATTCAGAACACTGGCTTGAACCAACACAAATTTTCAAACCAGTTGCGAGATCGGATTTGTTGATCCTCGCGTTAATCCAGACTGGAGGCAGGTTTAAAAGTCGATCTGTCATTCAAAATAGCAAGTCAACATGAATTTTGACAGAGCGCGCGCTTTTGGCGATATCGTCAAATGGAGAAATTTTGAGAAGACTGATAGTAGATAAGCAGAATCCTAAAAAATTTATGATGACACACAATTCAGACAACGATATAGGCTCAGCAAGGGAGATTTCCTCGATATTTTCCGTAATATGGAGCATCTGCTTGACAGACCTGTTGGCTATGGTTCACCTCTACCTCCCAATCATCAGCTGATGATTGCTTTGAGATTCTTCGCAAAAAATAGTTTCCAGGTAAGAAAGATTCTGATCACTGAATGAGTTTTGGTAATGTGTTACGTTTAGAGTCTATGAAGATCAAGCGGGTAAATTTAAAGAAAAAATTACGCTTTATTTTGAGTGTTTTTCTTTAGGAAACTATTTTGATGTATTTTCAATATAATTGAATCAATGCCGAGTGCATTTTGATTTTAATGTATTAATAAACTTAAGTCTTTCCTTAATCAGGGGAAATTTGGGGTTAAAAGAACAGAAAGAAACCTTACCTAACCAAACCTCGCCAGGTTACTTTGCCCTGCATTGATTCATCTTGCTTTGGTTATGAATAATGACACCTGTCCCAGATTATATCTAAAATTTGTGTAATTGTCTTCCTCTATGAATTTCTTTGTTAACATATAGCAGCACAGCCACATTGTAACACAGTACCATAAATCATTATAATTTGATTGTAACTATAGTAACAACGTTAACTTATGATGTGCAAGGAGAGATTTCTCCTCTGTAAAAATTCTTTGAGTCATAATTGCTGCCATAATCTTGTAAACATTATTCTCAATGGTGACTGGCTGTCATAAAGGTGTTAATGAAAAGTGATTGGCTGGAATTTCAGTGTTTGAATCCTTGCTCATAATCTAAGTAAATGCAACAGATTATCCGATCCGAGGTTGAAGCCGATGTTCTGAATATAGGTAATCCACTACAGGAAATCTCAGATCAAGGAATCCTGATTCACACGCCTGAGCTCAGCTCAAACCACCATTCTGAATTTGGGCCATAAGGCCTGAAAAACTGGTATCCAAACACATAAGGCTCAACTGTATATAATTATTCCTTCCAACACCTTTAAACAATGTTCTACAAAACTATTACCTCATTTTTCATGGTACAGTACACTGTAATGCAGAAAGGCAAAACTTGAAAAAACATACACCACCCTCATTCAGTCATCCATTCATTCCTGTTGATGTAACCAAGGTCAGCACTCCCTTTTAAAATTACAAATACTATCACAGTACTTCCATTTATTTTATAACTACAAATGATTTCTTGCACTTTTAATATTGCATTCAGGCGTCAATGATAATATCGTCCAATTGGCACCGACGCCTCAAAGTGCCATTGAAGAGAAAAAATTCATGAAAATCGAGTAATTCCGATTAACGATCGAGATTTTTGCGCATCACTGTGGCAGGCCTCCTCTCTTGTGGTGATCCATAACTAACTGGTTATTTGTTAAGTCCATAGCTCACCAACCATGAGACATGAGTGAAACTAGAAGACCGAGTGAGTGAGCCCTTTAAAAATTATCTTTACCGGTATATCCACACCACACGCTCATGCCATTCATTGTGCAGCAATATCAGCCTGCCTGTAAAGTGTTTATAAGTGTTCACAAAACATTCACATATTTATATTTGATGATTTTTCCCTTACGATAAACTTATGAGCTATCTGTAAAAGTAATGAGAAGTGATGGAATGTTTAATAAGTATCAATATAAGTGTTCACTTTACAATATTTCACTTCTTCAAACTTGCAAGCAGCACATGTGTGAACTCCATAATACAGTATAGTCTCGGTTTACGCGGTCAATTAAACCTGTGGAGGTCCACGTAAAACGAGAAACGCGTAAACGAAATAACAGAACATATGGGATTAATTGAAATAGAGACTGGGCCGACCCCCAGACTACCCTTTTTCCAACAATACGTACGTTGTAGTAAAAATAACATCTTAATTTTATGATGCTATGCACACACAATTAATATTTAAGAGAAATATCAATAATATTAGGTTTTTTAATACTTACGTTAGTAGAAAAGATGGCTGGGCACACAGGGATGGGGGGGGTTGGTTCCGAGGCAGAGGGCAGATTATTGGCCCTCGCCTGTATCACTATCCACCACAGAGGCTTGCAGGGCCTCTTTGTCAAACCCCTCAAAGTCCATATCCTCACTATCACTGACTTGGGCTGGCTGAGGTGGGTGGCGGGTAAAGAACTCGGTAATGTTTTGTTGACTGGGCGACCTAGCGTGCACCCTGCCCACGCCGCTTCCCGCGTCAATGATGGAATGTACCGCGTAACTAATAATTGCGGTCTGGCCAGGTGCCGCGTAAATGACCAACCGCTTAAAGGAAATCCGCGTAAATCGAGACTATACTGTAAATTCCCTTCTGAGGATACAATAAATGCCAGAGCATCTAACATCACACTGAAAGGTAAGATTGTTTTCAAATATAGTTTTATATTGGTATAATACCCTGTATTAGAAAGATGCATAAAGTACAGTATAAATGTAACAATCCGGTGTGTTTAACAGAACAGTACACGAAGTGGGGATGGAACCGTTTTCTCTAAAATCACTTACAGCCAAACCATACAGAATATGCTAACAAAATTCTAAAGCCACCATAACACACCCAAACACTTTTACTGACCATTGTAATAATAAATGAGAAAATTGTATGAATATAATGGCAAAACCTAAAGAGTGAACAACTTTGGAATGAATTCAAGATTTTCTATTTTATTCAATTTAGCAGCCTATTATTAATCTAAACATTTTTTTTTATTTCACCAATATAAGTGTAAAAATGTTTTTTTCTTATTTAACACTTATTGTCCTTACTTGGTTGTTTGTTGGCTGAAACACAAGTTGATTGCATTAAAAACTGTAATGCATGACTTCAAAACATCAAAATTATTTCTTCATTTTTCTTCTTTCACATGAAAGAGCAATCAATTGTATGGTATAATATACTGTAGTTGGTTTTACACAACCACCAAAAAAAAAAAAAGTTGCCAAAATATATATCCCAAGAAAAAATAAATACAGCTGCTCCCCAACTTACGACGGGGTTAGGGACCGACATCCAGGTCTTTAGTCGAAATGGCCGTAAGTCGGAAATGCTTAAATAATACATAGAAAATCTAAAATGGGTCTCTTTTTCTTCTCAGCACCACAAAACTCTCACTTTTAAGTTTGCCAGCCATTTTAAAGTGAATTACAGATGAAAATTTTTTCTGTGTACTGACTTTAGGACTTGAAAATACAGTATTACCCCGCTTTACGCGGTTTCTCTTTCCGCGATTTCTCATTTACGCGGTGCCTCGCCAGAACCGAACTTTCACTTTCCGCGGTGCATCTACTCATATACGCGGGAAGCGGCACGGGCAGGATGCGCACAAGGTCGCCCAGTCATCAAAACATTACCGAGTTCTTCACCCGCCACCCACCACAGCCGGCCTAAGTCAGTGATAGTGAGGATATGGACTTATATGGACTTTGAGGGGTTTGACAAAGAGGCCCAGCAAGCCTATGTGGTGGATAGTGATACAATTGATACAAGTGATACAGGTGAGGGCCAATAATCTGCCCTCTGCCTCGGAACCAACCCCTCATCCCTGTGTGCCCAGCCATCTTTTCTACTAATGTAAGTGTTAAAAAAACTAATATTATTGATATTTCTCTTAATTGTTAATTGTGTGTGCATACCATCATAAAATTAAGATGTAATTTTTACTACAACGTAGGTATTGTGTCTGAAAAAGTGGAGTTTGGGGGTTGGGCCAGTCTCTATTGGAATTAATCCCGTATGTTCTGTTGTTCACTTTACGCAGTTTTCACTTTCCGCGGTACCCCATGGGTTCAATTGACCGCGTAAATCGGGGTACTACTGTACGCAATTTGACCAAATTTTGGTACGACTGATGCAGGTCATAAGTGCTGGTGGACGTAAGTCGAGTAGGTTGTTAGTCGGGGAGGAGCTGTGCAGAATGGCTCTTCCATACAAGGCCACAACTAGCCCATGCATAAGGCAGTGAAGGAGTGTTAAACAATTTACAGAAACTCCAATGCAGATTTAGCATGAACAACAACCAAACCCTTCAGGTCTACAACAACAACGTACCTTTCTAACATAATTGTGACGCTTCTCCATACGTAAACGAGCAAAACGTAAGGCAGATTGGCCACCACGACCTGGAAAAAGAAGAACGTCAGTGACTATTAACCTAGCAGAGAACATACCTGTGTTTTTACTATGAAACCAGCCACCAATCATAATAACCTATTCAACTTTGATGACGGGCCAGTCAAAGTTGATCTTGAAATTAATTTTTCATTCATCTGGTGACATAAATCATGAAAATGCCGTGAATTAAAACTTTAAAAAACCTACGACCATTACATCACTGAAGAGGATTGCATAAAATTTGCTAAACAATTTACACAGCTCCTCCTCCCCAGCCACTGTACATATACTGTACTGTACCTGTGGGCCTTGTAATTTATTTTCAGTAATTAATGAATATTGAATTAGCATCATGTGTTTGCTTGAAAGATAAGCAGTTCTAAAATAAAGATTTCGGTGAATTATATCCTACTGTGTTCTATTGTTTAAGACATATTCAAAATTACATCACAGAACATCTACGATATAATAATACATTTACACTATACAGTACAAGAAAAGTCGTAAGTAGTAGAGCCAATATAAATAGCCCATTCTTTTACAAATCATCATTTTTAATATCCCATTACAGATACAGTACAGAGAATACAGGATTTTCAATTTTTGTTTTTCTAACTTCATTCTCCAAAAGAACAGTATTGCATCTGTCAAACAAACATGCCCCTACAAGTGCAAATAAAGTATCAGTACACTGCTTGAAACTCTAGTCAGTTATTCTCTGGACACATATAAAGTGACAAAAATTTCATAACTATTTTGCTTCATCTAATCAACAGACTTGGGTGGGTGGGATAGAAGTAGAGTATTACCTATATGTAGAGATGGACAGGTATAAAAAAGTGTGGACCCCTGTACATGCAGTCAAGTTATAAAATGCTAAATATTGTTAATAACTCCAACATATACAGATGAATACTGTACTGGCATCGACTTTTGGGAAGTTGCTGATTTGAGACATGGTATTCTCTCCTGTGTAAGAGTCAGTGAAAAGGATATGGGGTGATTCAGTGATCATATACAAACAGGAAAGGAGCAATGATGACAAAGGGATAACAGGTAGAAGAATGGGAAACAAAAGTCAGTGAATACACAAAATGTTAATATACAGTCAGTGAATAGAGCAATCTGTATACAGCAATACCTCCGTAAGCTGGAACCCCTCTCAACTGGAACTCCCTGATAGCCGAAATTGAAATTTTCTCAGAAAATCGTTCCGAGGGGCACATTTTCTGGAAAATTCTGAGAAAAATTTTCCAGTACCCAGAAAATTCTGGAATATTCCAGGGATGGGCGAGTATTTACAGGTTTGAGAGATGATGTACAGCGCAATTTCTGGAATTTCCGAGAACATTTTTCCGATACTCGAAAAATTTCAGGGATGAAGAATTTTTTTCAGCTTTGAAAGATTATGTAATGAGTAATTTCTGGAACTTCAGAGAAAATGTTTACGTTAGGTGCATTGGTACTAATGCTTTCTTTATAATTCATAATCATTTCTGCACTGTATTTTATCAATGTGAACTAAATTTCAGAATAACCAATAATTTTAATGTAAAAATGCAAAATATTCAAGACAGCAACAACTGGATGTTCACTCCACTGTAAACAATGTTAAACTGAGAAGCGTTGGTGGGCACACAAAAACTGTCCCCTGTATTGTATATATTATCAATATGTTAACTAAATTAGAATGACCATAATTTTAATATAAAAAATGCAAAAATATTCAAGAGCACAACTTTCTTGATATTTACTCCACTGGAAACAAATGTAAACATAGAACCAATTACTGTATTGGCGGACTAGCCAATCAGCTGATGAGCACAACAAAGCGTGTTTCTTGAAAGGCTTTATTTAATTGAAGTTTTGTTCGTTAATGGAATTTAAAATCCTTATGGGAGCTAATTCTTGAACCCAAATTTCGTTAATTGGACCGTTCGTTAATTGAGGGGATTGAAATAACTAATAGCACAAGCAACATATGCCATAGCCTAATAGCACCATCTAAATTTAAGAAATATTGCATCTAGTTTTTCCATGTGCCTATTCTGATGCTGATGATGCATACTGTATACTGCAACCAGCTGTAGCTCAGAGCCTATTGATAAAACTGAAAAGCCTTTTCACATTATTTACTGTTTTATGGGTAGTACAGATATGCCTTCATGACCTTAAGTTTGATTTATGCTTTGCCTTATCACCTCTTGCAACTGTCCTGGTGGGTGCCCGTAAGTCTGCACGTCCAAGAAAGGTGATACCGCCTTGCCCTTATGATAATTAATTATTAATGGCACCCAAACTCTGTACCCACACAATATATACGATTAAGTACCTGAAATATCCACATCTGGATATTGTGAAGGACTTTAAGGCCAGAGTTGGCATTCTTAGCTCAATCAGCAGAAAAGAAAGAACAAGAATACTGTACAGTATTAGAGAAAACACATCATTTCCCTCGAGTCTACACAAAATACTGTAATACGAGGAGGAAGCTCGCCCTATCCTGATGCATACAAACCGTGTTTCTTCGGAAGGTCAACGGTGAATTTGTGTAGGACTTCGCGGGTGTTTCCCTGGAGTGTGCCAAACAGTGCACCATTACCATCCATCACAATAAAGCCAAATTTGTTATCATCAGCTAAGAGGGCCGAAAGAGCTTCCGTGTGAAACTGAAAGTAAAACATTGTCAAATTAATTGCAAGTGTCACCACAATCTTCATTACTACACAAGGAAAGTGCACCACAATCTGTGCACAGTACTTCTATGCCATCTCTGAAACAGCTAAATGGATCAACCGAAAATTTATACATTACAGTAAAGCCTCGAATAACGACTGTAATGTGTCCTCCAATATTGCAGTGTGAGGTGAATCATTGTATCGTGAATCATTAATTACCAAAAAAATAAAGCAATAATAATGAGATGGGTTCCCAAGTGTGACCTTTTAATATCCTTTGTGTATGGATTTTACCCTCTTTCCCCCAAAACAACAAAATTAATGAAAAATGCAAACTATATTCTTTAAAAATGTTTATGAATGCACCTTATACAATATAAATGAAAAAATAATATGGTCACACAAGAGACGGGACACCCTTGTTTTCGTTTGTGTTTACACCCGGGAAACCGGGACGATGGTTCTACATAAGAAAATGAAGAAAATAAGAACCTGGTTGTAGCTGTAGTAAAATTAATGTAAAAAAATTAATATATATGTTTTAAGTAATGTTATTTAATGTTAATAAACGGAACAATACAAGTAGCTCACCACTATTGGTAAAAAAAAAAAAGCGAGACGGATTGGGAACGCCAACATATACGTGCGTACTCAAGGAAACATAGCGCCATTTAACTTATTAAAGATATGTACAAAAGATTCATTATTGTTTATTGTTGAATACAATTCATTAATACTACATAGATTATTAAAACACACAAGAGGAGACGAGACGGCATTGTTTTCGTGAGTGACGATGGTTCTACATAAAAAACTGAAGAAAATAAGACACTGATTGTAGCTGTAGTGAACTTAACGTAAAAAAATGAATACCTGTATGTATGTTGTAAGTAATGTCATTTAATGTTAATAAATTGAACAATAGAAGTAGCAAACCACTAATGGTAAAGAAATAAAGCGAGATGGATTGGAAACGCCAACGACATAAGTGCTTACATGTGAAAACATATCGTCATTTCTCTACATACAGTAGGCTCTCGCCAATAAGGTCTAATAGATGCCTGAAAAAGCCATTATTAGCAAAAACGTTATTTGTGTGGCATTAAAAAAAATGTAAAAAGGGTTTATTGGTACCGCCGCCCCAAGAATTTCACCCATGTTTTCCCCCTTGAAGCCCTCCTAACACTTTTTGATGCTGAAATAAAGAGATTTGTTATTCAAACATCAAAATAAAGAGTTTGAGTAATATAACACTTAGCTTGGGGGAGTTTTTGAGGTGCTTGGTGTGATGATTGTTCCGTATCTGAGGGCCGCTAACACTTGCACTGTCTTTCATTCTACAGCTAACCATTTCACAAGAAAATGCTGTTATTACTAACAACCTGTTTCTATCGCCTTTATCATTCATAGCTCGCCTCGCATTTCCAACACTACCGAAATATTTTTAGCCAACGCAATACTCTTCTTGGTCTCCTCTAAGTTCCTCTTAATATTTCGCACTGTAGACTCAGGACAGTTCAGTTTCCTCACAATATCAATGTTCCGTGCACCACTTTTGTTGAGCTCAACAATCTGTTCTTTATCCTTGACTGAGTAGGCACGCTTATTATGGCTTTGTCTCTTAGCTTTGGGGTCTTTTTTCCCATTCACTTTAAAAGTTCCCGGGCATTCAGGCAGCAAATCACTCCCTCCACCACCTCCCCTAACCCCCACAGGCAAAAATGCAGAAGCCGATCTTAGCAACCACTGGTTATAGAGGCGAAAATCTCACACGTGGGCGCAGCGCTGTATTCCACCGAGCGTGTGTGAGAGTGAGAAGGAGCAGACAACTACGTCATCAACGTGGCGGCAAACAAACACTATCATTGATGCGCTCGGACGCTTCCCATGAAATCTCCGTTATTCAAGAGAATCCAGACGTTATTATCGAAAATGGGTATCTATTGTAACTTACCGTTATTGTGGAAGTCGTTATTGGCGAGAGCCTACTGTATGAATATGAAAGCAACATTTATTTGCTGTTCATATATGTTTTAAATAATACTTACAAATGCAAAACAAAAATTCCACTCACCAATGGTGGTAAAGTCTAAAACATAAGGAGGTTTTACTCAGATGACAAAGTCATCAGGTTTAACTCTGGCTGAAGTTGTAGCTTTCCATAAAGCTGTTGCTGAAACTGTTACTGAACCTGAAGTTATTGATGAAGCTGCTTATGATGCTGAATTTAATGGTTTAGGAATTCAAATAATAAAGCTGTCTAAAGTACCTTGCACAGTTGCTTTCTTTTCTCATTAAACATCTTATGTACAGTAGAGGTCATATGCATTTTTCATGTCCCTGTTAATTTTAATGCTTCATTCTGTAAATGGATCCACTTCAGAAAATATGTTCATTGCTTGCTCCATGTAATATTAACAGACGTCTCTCACCCTTTTCATATCATTTTAACACATCTAGTTTCTCAGGTAAGCTTAAACACTTTCTCTTGGCTTTTGAACCATCACTTGCTCCCTTGCTCATGTTGAATAGGGACGCAGAAATTCCATAAGAAACCCGAGAAAGTTTTTCTCCCTTTCCTGTTCAGATGCGTGAAAACAAAGGGCCCGCCAGCTGCGACTGTTTACACTAGTGATGCTGGCGTCACCACTCACAAGCCCAGCAGCCTCCATGCGCAAGGCGTGTTTTTTTGTGTTTTTTTTTATAATGTATTTCGGGATTTAGTTATATTTATATGAAAATGTAATTTTGTTTATTTTGTATTCTATTTTTGTCATAAATACAAAGAAAATAATGGAGTAAATTGAATTGGGCCCTAAATTAACCAGGGTCTTATATATGAATCGTCGTTAGTAGAACCATCATTATCGGAGGCTTTCCTGTACTGTACTACATTATAACTCGGACAACTATGTTTGAAAAATTCTTGGATGGAAAAAATTGGTTTGTAGCATTCATGGATCTAGCAAAAGGATATGATAAAAGTCTACAGAAAAGTAAGAAGAAAAGTTCTGAATACAAAGAAGATAAATTTTTTTTAACAAATCTGTACACTCACAATTAAGGACACCGTATCAATTTAACGCAAATCTTTCCTATTTTACGCGAGTCAAATCTGGCGCCTCATATGGAAATACACACTATTTTAAGTTTTGCGCCTATGTTTCCTGCCAGACACCTCTCTGGGTACACTACAAGGCTGCCCGCCACCCTCACGCATCCTCAGTTCTTGCACTGACGCTCTAGTGAACAGACATATTGTGTGACACTATTTCCTTCTACCACATGCATTAACCATCGCCAGTATGTCCAAGAGGCCAGCCACTACATCATTAGCTACCCCAAAAACCAAGAAATCAAGGCAAGCAATTACACTGTACGATAGTAGAAAAACAAGGTGCTGGAGGCACTGCAGCATGGAAATGGTGCTTCCCGTGGGTCAGATGTGTCCACAGCCACACCACTAGACAGTGATGTGGATGATGAGCTGATCGAGTTGGGCTCTGCATGATCTGCATTTTCAGAGGATGAAATTGCCTTACTAAAGTTGAGTGAAAATCTATTTTTGATAGCATAAAGTAATTAAAAAAATAGGTTGAGAGGAAAGTGAAAGTGCCAATCAGTGGTGAAGAGGATAAAAATAAAAGTAGGAGTGAGGCAGACGAGAGGCGACCACCCTTTCACATCAGCTGTCCGCTAGTAACAGACCATTTCGCATCCCGTAATTTTAGCTGTGTTGATTTGAGTTTGTTTAGTATGAGCACTAATTGTTTATACATGGTCCCCCCAAGAAATGTAGCAACATAATAATGGCTTCTAAAAATGGATGCTTAAATGGTAAAGGTTCTGTAATGCATGTGCGCACACAAACACACTACATCCTTGACCACCGAAGGGTCAAGACGTACCTAGAGCTCCTCTGGCAGCAGCCAGGTCAACTGTTAAGTTGACCCATACCAACTCCCTCCCCTGAACCCTCCTCCCCACCGAAATATCAACAAGTTCTCGCCAGAAGTTACAATTTCATTTAGGAAAGGAATGGAACCAGTGATTAACAGTGGTGAACAGTGCTTAAGTCAGTGAGAACAACTCAACAGTAACAGCCGAGTTGTAGCCAAGTTAACCTTCACACAGTGAGGTCCCAGGTACCCAGTGATAACTGCCTGTGAGACCCAACAACAACCAGCGATGTGTTAATCCGTCCACGATAGGAAGGCCTGGGACCACACCTCACTCAAATAACACCATCTGCGAGGGAACTACTACCACCACGTGAGGTCCCTCATAACACCATCTGTGAGGGAATTACTACCACCATGTGAGGTCCCTCATAACACCATCTGTGAGGGAATTACTACCACCACGTGAGGTCCCTCATAACACCATCTGTGAGGGAATTACTACACCATATCAGGTCCCTCATAACACTATCTGTGAGGGAATTACTACACCACGTCAGGTCCCTCATAACACCATCTGTGAGGGAATTACTACGCCACGTGAGGCCCCTCATAACACCATCTGTGAAGGAATTACTACACCGTGTCAGGTCCCTCATAGCACTATCTGTGAGGGAATTACTACACCACGTCAGGTCCCTCATAACACCATCTGTGAGGGAATTACTACACCACGTGAGGCCCCTCATAACACCATCTGTAAGGGAATTCATACACCACGTGATGCCCCTCATAACACCATCTGTGAGGGAATTACTACACCACATGAGGTCCCTCATAACACCATCTGTAAGGGAATTCATACACCACGTGATGCCCCTCATAACACCATCTGTGAGGGAATTACGATACCACGTCAGGTCCCTCATAACACCATCTGTGAAGGAACTACTACACCACGTAAGGTCCCTCGTAACACCATCTGGGAGGGAGTTACTACGTGTTTGCTGGTCAACACCTACATTAATCTGTATGTCCACTGTATGTTCCTTTACCTTTCTCTAATGAAGGCTTTTGTTAAACCACCAATGTATGTACAGTAATAAGTCATTTATGTCCAATGTATACTTTCAGCCTTCGGGCTGCAGAACTTTTTCAATAAACCGTTAATTATTATTATTATTATTACACACAGCTGATGCAGAGTTCCTGTGCCCGAGCTCCTCAACATTCATACTTCGCAATCTCACCTTTGCTTCCCCAAGATGGTCTTCCTCCCTAAATGCCACACAACGGAAACTTCTAGAATAAGTGCAGAAGAGGGCGTGCAGAATTATTCTCTCCCCCACATATCAAGAAGCGCTCAACACACTGGCCCTCTCGGCTCTCTCTGATCATCACTATGACTTCGTCTGCAAATTTGGGGAGACAATTCTGCACCATCTCCTGCTTTCACCCGAGATCCCTCGTCCATGAATTGCTGTTCAACACTACAACCACATCCAGCCCACATGAGCTCGTACTGATCGCTATAAGAACAGCCCAGTCCCAACCAATGCAAAAATTGTAAACAACTTGCAGTTAACTAGGGTGTTCACTTCTGTCACTCTTACTATGTTGAAATTCCCTGCTTTATAACCTACTACCCACCCCTTATTATTATATCATATTTGTATCACTTATGATACTTGTATATTAGAGTATTTTCTCGATTTAACAAACTAATTCGAGCCACCTCTTTCTGTTTAATCAAAATTTCCATTATTTTCGCTCGATTTAGCGAACTAGTTCGCTAAATCGAGCGTGATTCCGTTAAATTTCGCACCAAATGCACCAATTGGCACGAAGGTTTTCTTTACATCAGCTCAGTCTGTGTCCTGCCGCCACCTCGTGTGTTGTTCACTGCTACCTCAGTCAACTAGCTACTGTACTTAGACATCACCGAAAGTCCCTCAGAAGTTTCAGAAAGGAAGTGGTGTGGGGGAGAAAGTCAAGAGTGTGGCTATCAAATGGAAAAAAAAAGTTTGGATATTATAGAAAATTTTGAAAACAAACACCAAACCCCCTAGCTCACAGCAAGCCATGAATAATTAATCTTTCTAATGTTTCTACGTACACGTGTCTGAGGCATCTCCGTAGGTTTGACCGAATTAACGGAATTAACCTTGATTCGGCGATCTAGTTCACTAAATCGAGTGAAAAATAACGGAAAAAATTCCTTACTCTAAATCGAAAGTTCATTTTATCGGATTCCTTTTAAATCGAAAGTAATGGTTGCCCCCTCGTGTAACGAGGATGGCCGGCCCAAGGGCCACCTAGGCGTGAATTTGTGTTAGGTGTAGAAGCTGTCGCCAACACAACAACCACACCTGAGAATTGAGCTACATGACCCAGTGTCAAGGAATAGTCCGAGAAGACCGGACAACTCGCCAACTGCATTGGCTAACCATTACCCCGGAACACGATCAACAAATCAATTAACATCCAGGTTCCCAATTACTGCTGGGTAGACAGAGGCAAATGGCATAAAGAAACTTTCCCATAGTTTCACCCTGCCCAGGGATTGAACCCGGGTCCACTCGCTTGCAAGGCGAGCAAGCTGACCATTACAATCAATTGACCCATTCCCCAATTATATAATTGTATATTTTCAACATTTTGGCTACCATGTTCTTTCAATAAACTATTAATTATTCTTATCATTAATATTATTACACACATTATTCCAATATTCCTATTCCTTGCTTTTCATTTCCGCATGGTTGTTTTTTTTCTGTAAAATAAAAATATTTATCTTAAATTTAATTATATAGAACTAGTTAAGGTCATACCCAACACTGATATATGGGTAGAGCCTCAAACAAAAATAGTGATGAAATATACATACTTTGTTGTCACAGAGGTAGAGGGATGTGTTGATTGGCTTAAATGGTTCAAAGTCAATATTAACCTTCTTCTCCTTCCCCTCTTCTGTCACAATTGTCCCGCAGTATATCACCAATCCATTGGGCGGAACTAAAAGCAGAAAAATCAGCATCTAAATCATCTTTAACTTGAGGAGAATAGTAAAGGACTATTATGGTAAATTTTGGTATATATCAAGTACAGTATATTAAACAGACCTGGACATTCCTGATTTTGTGGCACTACTAGTTTAGTCTTGAAAAATTTATTCTCTGGACACTAACACCCTCACAAGTTTTAGGTTGGTGAGTGCCCAGTTCTTGTATACCTTTTATACCCTTCTGCCTCTCTTCTTTGTAACAAATTGTAACAAATGCTAAATGAAGTCTGTTAAAGAACAAAACTACCACATGAAACTTGTTTGTACACCTGTCCTAATAATATTAACACTACCCTTCCTCCCATGTAAATCCAAGGTATTAGTTGTCATGAATTACACTTGAAACTAATAATGTACATGTATTATCAATAGCTAAAAAATGATATATTTATGTTTTGGTGATCTATAAATTAAAATCAATCAACCATATAGCAACATAATAATAACCACATAGTATAATATTAATCCCCGCACCTTTTGTGTATAGTTTGAGCCTTTGCTGTACCGACGTGATGGCAGATAACACAGATAATCTGTTTACACGTGATTTTATGTTTGAAGCTGTTCCAAATTCATCAGCCAACATCTTACTAACTCTTGCAATCTGATCCTTTGGGGGGATGATAAGGGATATCATACTCGTCCCATTCCTGGAAAGAGAGAAATACTGTACAGTCTACTGCATATAGCAAAGAATAATGAGCTAAAATGTGTAATGAGTTCTCAATATCTACTACAATATACAATACAGTTGTTTAACGTCTAAACTTTTAGAAGGTTATCACATTTTCAAAATTAATGGGTGCATATAACCAGTAGTTCTACTCCCCACCACCATGACAGCTGCTGACTCAAGTTTGCTATAACCTGTTCTAGAATCCTGACCACTGCCATCTCCAGTAGCATTATTACTAACCCTCTGGCCATCTCCAGGCTCTTAATAAGTTTCTTTATTTTCCAAATTTCTACATTTCGATCTGCACTGGACTCATCCGAGCTGTAGCCTTGAGATGCCATGTTGTGTTGTGCTTCTTGGCCCGCCAACTTAACAGTTAAGGACTCTGAAATGAAAAAAAAAATCAGAAAATGGAATGCATTACATATGGTACCGTTTACTTATTTTGCCGAGTGCTATTCTGGATAAAAGCTCTACACCTGTACAGCCAGTTTCTCCCTGTAACATATATTCAAGACCCTGTAGTTAATTATAATATCCTAGCTTACCCATTTCTTGTCCAGTCTTTTCTCAGAAGTTACAACATTTGAAGAAGGTATGGCTGTCATCTTATCTCAGTGATAAGGGATTCAGCCTTAAATGTCTAATCACCTGTATTAAATGTAAATACTGTACATAATTGGCCAAGCATGCCATGACTAGGTCAAGCAGTTGGAGTGATCAAGTTCAGAGGATGTGACTTCAAGCCTAACTCTAAACAGTGACTTGTAAACCAGGCAGTCACTTTAACCCCATGCATACAGGGGCTGCCCAGCGCTGAATAAAATTGTACGGCGCTACCCGAGTAAAACATTAAAAGTGGCATCCCAACAACAAAGGGGTTAGTGGAGATGTTTACTAACCCCTTGTGTATGGAGCCTCTGAATAAAAGCATCTGGCACTAGCCAAAACAAATATTAAAAGTAACATCGCCAGAAACGACAAGAAAAATTGCAAGCCAAAACTTGGAGAGCACACTTTATGTCAACTAAATGTAACCACATTCGAGTATGCAGCGATTACTTTCTTGCTGCTAAGGAACCTCTTCACAGTCTTATTATGTACACTCACTCCAAAAAGTATCTTTATGGAGGGGTCCAATAAATTTCAAAACGAATGCCACGACTCCTAGTTGTTTCGGTAGGGTTGTCAAAATCCTTCATGAGATGTGTCATATGAGGCGCTCCGATTGAGTGACGAATCAACCAGTGGCGCTCAAATCAGATTCTTGTTTCAACAGGAAGCCCGACTTTCTCTACCCAATACAGGGTTTATTTGTCTTCAGGTGTAATGTTACCCCCAACCAAGCCTTCCTTGCTCCTGTGGCAATGTCATGAGGCTAGTGGAACTGAGTGATAGGGTTGTTTCCTAGTACATGTACGTGTTTTTGCCATTATTTGTATTATTAATAAATGAAAGAACAATCATCAATGCAAATAATTAAATAATACATACCTGTATTATGGATTCTGTGATGTGATATATAATGTCACTTATAAAAATGAAGCCCTTGAAGAAAGGCAACGAAAGGAGGTGGGGGTGGGAGAAGTGGGGGGGAGAGGTTGTTTGACATTTAAAATGAGCTGACATAATCCCATCTCACTACCTAACTCGCATTCTCGCACCACACTCGGATCAGCAATTTCAAAGATGAATCGTCAGCAGGAACAACTGGTGTTACGGGGGGAAAATTGTCACATTGATAGATGCTAGCCATACGATTGCAAGCATAGCAAGAGAGCTAGAAATATCAACACCAACGGCACGACATTGGTGACGGCGATGGGAGGAAAGTGGAAACCTCCTAAACTGACCTAAGTCTGGCGGACTGAGAAAGACTATCCAGCAGACGATCAAAGAATCATAGATGCAGTAATACAGTCTCCATTGACAAATGCAGTCACCATTAGGGAACGGCTTCAACTTGACGTTTTTGCAGGAACTGTGAGAAGGCAGTTACACGAGGCCAGGATACACCATAGGACTCCGGCAATTAAGGAAGAATTAGAAGATCGCCATAGTACTACCAGACTCCAGTTTGCCAGCAATACATGGGTGAGGGCATAGACTTTTGTGGTAAGGTGATCTCAGATAAGACATTTGCCTCCACCACCCATATTCCTCTCCACTGTTGACAGGCCAACAACACAAAGTATGGACATCAGAACATCAACGAGGTGGCAAGAAGTGGACATGTGACAGTCAACGTTTAGGGATGGATAAATGCATATGGCACAGGTGAACTAGCTGAGATTGAAGGAAGATTTAACTCAGGAAAATATTTGGAAGATTTTGGAAGAAGTGATGATCCCCTCTGTCCCAGCTTATGCTCTCCCATATCCCGAGCTCATAATATTCATGCAGGTATGAATAACGATATCCTGTACCTCTTAATCAGTGGTCTATCGTGGATATATGCATTTGTATTTAGAAATTCCTGATTATGACTAATATAATTATTATAACTAGAAAACAAAACAGAGTAAGAATATAACTGATATATTAAACCAATGTCAAGGTTATTATTTTCCTAATTATATTTTACTTTGATATTGCAGGATAATTCTCCCACCCACAAAGCCGGAATCGTCAGACAATGGTTCGATGAACAGCCTGACATACAACTTCTGGAGTGGCCAAGCAAAGGGTGTGATCTCAACCCCATTGAAAACATATGGGGAACAATCGTTACGTCATAAGAGACGGACGATGACCGAACACCACAGCAACTTCTCCAACACACGAAGGATGAATGGGAGCGTTTTCGCAGAAATCGACAACAAATTCTGGTAATATTGCAGTGAACAGCAACCACAGAATTCCGGAAATGCACTACATCAATCGATAGAAATAAATTTTTCTATGACCATTTCCTTATACAGCCACTCCTCGACTTACGACCACCCCAGTCATCCCAATTTCTTTTTAAATTACGTATTTTCGAGTCCCGACATTAGTGATTGTGTTGTGTACTGACAAAATTTTCGTTTGTAATTCACTTTTGTGGTGCTGAGAAGAAAAAGAGACACCCATTTTAGATTTTCTATGTATAATTTTCGCATTTTAAACTTGCAATCAATTCGACTCACGACCTGCATTTGGGTCCCTAACCCCGTCGTAAGTCGAGGAGTGGCTACTGTATTACACTTCCGCCGCAAAGTGAAAATAAGGAAGTTATTGAATTTGAACCCACGATGCATTCTGGTCCTTGACTCAGACTCAGAGTAAAGTAAAAAAATACTGTAACAGCTAATTATATTCTCATGGAGGCTGACCATGCAACTCTGGGTTATTACACAGTGTCTCAGGGTTCAGGAGCCAAGCCCCCCCGGCTAGGGCCACCATGGGTCCGGGGGCTCTGCTAGGGGTTAAGTAAGGGTTAGTTTGGTTATATTGTATAAGTTAGCAAGCACAGAGTACCAAGAATTCAGTCCACGTAATCGATAGAACTATTATTTCTACTATTTTTTCGTAAATAACAGAATTTGTTGCGTAATGTGTTCTTCTGAAGTTTTCTTGTTGTAACTCAGACAATTTTGGAATTTGTTTCTACCAGAAACCTCTCGTTTTGACTTTCCCCCACCCAAAACCCCGAATTCCCACGCTTTCCCCCATTATTGTTGGGGGGGGGGGGGGGTAAATGCAAAACGAGTGATTTCCGATAAAAACGAAGGTCAGACTTGAACCAATCGCATCAAAAACCACCAGAAATACAAATTTTTTACCATATTCTTTGGTTGTTGTAATCTGCAATTTTACCCAAATTCTGTATACTGTACATAGTGCTGTAGCCTCCCTCCCAAACAGACAGCAATAGGTAATTGCTAAGAATGGCGGGTGGACAAAGTACTAATGTTGTAACTGGCTGTTCAACCCCCTAAACCTTCACCCACCCCAGATTCACATATGATGCTCCTTCCACTTATAACCTGATTGGTATTGTGACACTAAATAAAGCATGACAGATAATTAATTTTTGTCTTGTGTAATTACATTTATCAGTTTAAAACAAACTAATTTTGTTAGTGATATAAAGATTTGCTTTGTAATAACTATCGTATCAAACCATTATTTATTTTATCCACCTACTGTACATTTAAATAGTTTATTAAAGTGTTACAGTAACTATAAAACCTGAAATGTTTAACACACACACAGAGAGAGTTGAGAAACAACCATAACACCCTATAGCTTGGCCCAGTAGCCTGATGGTTAGTGACAAATCTAACTTGACTACAATGGCATCAGCGATGTTAACAGATCCTAATGTGAAAAGAAAGTTACTGTATCTGTAAATATTCATTTATACCAGGTATTTGTAGATTGAAAAATAAATGTTGCTGACACGACATTAATATATACAGGAAATAATGCTTGTAAGAGTTCAGAAATAGTTACTGCTTAGCTCTGAAGAGCTGGGAGTTTGCTGTATGGACATTAATTTTCTCAGGTTATCATCAGTACAGTACTGTACAGGTAGTTATAAATCTATCTTTTATATTTACAATAATTATTTTTTTAATTAATTTAAAATAATACTGTGTTTAAGTTTGCAACAAAAAAGTTTTAGTTCTGGAGTTGGGTTAGGTAGAAATTAGTCTACTGGAGACAGCAACTAGAGGGTTCATTAGCCTAGAGGAGTCTGCAACTTCACATATAGGATGCTGGCCAATTATTTTTAAGCTTTTTTCAAGACAAAAAAAGTGTCTTATATGCCATAAAATAAGGTGAGTTAGGTTGGGTTGGGCTTGTGCCCTTTATTCCCTATACTGTATATATTAAATTAACATATGGACAGTACATATACAGTACTGATTCTTGATATTGCTTATTCCTTTACCACAGCAAGTACAGATCACTAAATTGTCTAGTGAAGCATCTCAGAAGCCATGGTTTGTTTTCAGTGCTTTGTAAAAAAGAAAAAAAAAAAAAAAAACACTGGTGAGAACTCGACAAGAAGAAATACAGTGACGGGTTTTGTACTATAACTGCCCAGGTAACTGTAGAAAGCTGTTAAATCATCTTTACTTGGAAATAGCATTTGTTTGTCCGTGGATGTTTGAGAAGTTAAGGTAACTTGACTATCATAAGGGACAGTCTAAACAGCAGATGGTAGCACCCAGTACTGTATGCTTTCTTATCAGTTACTATTAAAGACTCAATTTTACACCAGCTTTCAAATGCCCACAAGACGGAAGCATCCTGAGAGCAACTCTCACCTGGTCTGCCGATACAGTTATAATGGGCTGACAAAAACTGCCCAGTGTTTTCACACGAAGTCCAGAGTCAGGAGCTTAGCAGACAATCTTTATGAATAGTTAACCAGAAATTATCCTGAAAAATACTCGTATAGGTACAGTACTGTGTCCCTCGTTCTATGAATGTTTCCTCTACACACATTCCCTTACACAAATATTTTGTTCTCGCAACTCTTTCTTACTAAACAAAACCTATTCAGCTAATACAAATGATGGCCCTTACTCAATAGACCCCTCTTCACCCCCCATGTGGTGAGAACCGACTGCCTACCAAATTATATACTGTATTACAGTACTGTACTATACTATATATTTTTTTAATGTAATAGTTATTAAATTACAGTAGTGTAGTACAAATTTACATTAGTTTGGTACTACATTACAATAGTTGGGTACTAAAGTATATATGAACATAAGAAAATAAGGAGTCTGCAATAGGCCGGTTGGCCTGTGCATGGCAGCTCCTGTCGAGAGTTACTACCACTCTCTATCATCCAAGAATCTATCCAGCCTCCTTTTGAAACTTTCCAGAAGTTAAGTAGGATTCTGTTGTTCATGAATCAATTTCATTTTTTAGGTATAAAATTAGGGTTTTCATCTTGCTGGGGAACAGACCCACATTTCCCCACATGTTATATTATTCGGTATATGAATATTCACTTATCAAATCATTTTCAAGGAACCTAACCTATCAAAATAGCAATGGATGCCTGTATAAAAACAAATCATATTTTAGATGGTAAAAAATTACAATTACTGAATCGTCATGGCTGCAGAGTAAAGTGAATTTACCTTAGTAACCATAAATCTTTTTTCTACAAACTGCTTCACCAGAACCTCCCTTACCCATCCACTGGTAAATTTTTCCTCGCAATTAAGACTTTTGTAGTTCATGAGCTGCTAAAATAGCAAAGACAGCACATGCCAATGAGGATACATAAAATTGATGGATATTTCAAGATTTGGCAATTAAAAAGCTTACCTTTGAATACAAAGATAGGAAAATGTTCCTTCAACTGTAAAATTCTCAAGTATGTCCCAGTCTGATTTACTGTACTGTATACAGGAGTCTCAGAACAGTATAAATTTTCTGAAACTTTCTTTTACGATAATATATTTTTGCAGTTCTGACGCGGGATCTATCTAAGGTAAGATTTTAAGTTTTGGTCATCCCTATATGTAGATATCCAAACTGTTTTTCCAACAGTTTTTAACATGTTTTGAATAATTTGCCGTTCAATGCTCTGGGTGTTTACCGTGACATACAAACATAAAATGTTATATATCTCGCTGAAACGTAATTTGCGCCAGAAATGCAACCGAATTGTCAACAATACCGATTGCATCTATAAAATTCACAAGATTCATTTAGTGGCAACACTTGAAAGGTAAATTTTCATACATAATAAAATGTTTAATACTGTATATCGCTTATACGTAATTTGCACCAGAAATGGCATTGAAGAAAATTTTCTTAGAATTCTCAAAACTACTGATTGCAACTATAAAATTCCCGAGATTCGTGTAGTGACAAGTGAAACAATACCGTTTCAACTTTGATTTCAAATGGTGGCAAGTAAAAATGTACCTAAAATTTGTTTTGGTCTTCCCTATATTTAGAGAATCGACCTAACCTAACCTAGCCACAGAGCCCAGCTATCTAACCTAACAGAAATGCTATATTAGAAGTGTTTTAGAATTGCCTAAACTACAATATTGAGGTCCTGAATTATAATTTACTCACCCTCTATATTTTTCACACACGCAAAATTGAGAACTTTTGGATAAATTAAGAACCTCTTGAGTTAGTTAACACTGGGCGACAAGACCTCTGATAACAATACAGAAGGTTAAACAAGGATTAATATAAAGGTATCTTACAATTGCCAGAACAAAGTCTCATTTTTCTAATATAATCTTCCAACGAATATTTTATAATCCACACATACATGTAACACTAAGTCTAAGGCAGTGTTTAAAGAGCCCAAGATGAGGCAACTCTTAACCCATGACTCTTTGACAGCTGATTTCGTACCCTGGCTTTGTACCTCATTATTTTCACCTTATGTCGACCCCTAACACCGTATAATGTGTCTATTTAGTGATAATATTATTTTATAGTTACTTTATAATGACAAAAGAGGTTCTGAGACAAGAATTTAGGTGTGAATGGTGACCGAGAAAGAGAAACTCCCGAGTACTAAGACTGGGCAGCTCCCCGCGCCGGCATATTTCACCCTCCCTCTGCCTCTCACCCGTCACTCACCCTCCCCCACACTCACCAGACAACATTTGGGTAAAGTATTGTTTCTACTCACCTTAATTTACGTCCCTACGATGCGAGTATCGTTAAAAAATTAAAATATGAAGGAGACTCTGAAACAACAGCAGTACAGCATGGCAGTGCGGCACTGTTGAGTTGACAAGGGAATAACACTTGGCGCACACAACCACGTACGCATGTCACTGCATTATGGTACAATATGGACCAATATATTGCCTAAATATTTATAATTAAATAAATAATACTCATTAATTAACAATTAGTTCATTCAAGATCAGCTTATAGTGAGGGAGGAATGACTGAGTTTCCTCGCCACTAGCTACACGGCAGGTAAATTCCATCTGCATTACCTATTTATTACTCTTATTAAGTATTCTTATATTTTTATTAATAGTGCCACCTTTCATCATTAATAATTCGCCCCCTGTTAACACAATAAGACCAGTCCCCCCCTCAGATGGTCCATAATGGAATTACTAATGGAAACGTGGAGGTCATCTCCGTGTAAGAAGGATATATGTCTTGTACATGGGAGGAGTATTGGTTTCCTTTTTGTCGTGCACACAGCTCAATCTACACTATAATTGTAAAAACTGGGACACAAAGATATTATTTAATGTTTAAAAGTCTTATGTTTAATGTGAAATATACAGAAGGCTATAAAGTACTCTTAATTAAAATTAAACCAAAGAATGGATTGATGAACTATATTTTTCCAAGTGTAACAACCCCCATGGCCATATATGAGGCCACTATATTATCTTACAACACATTATTAATACATATACTGTCTCAACGATAGCTTCTTAAATGCGTAGACATAATACTTATAACTTTAGAAAATAATAGAGGAACGTTATCCCTCAACAGACCTTGAATGGATTTGTCCAAGATTTATCTTCGCGTGAGTGTTAGGAAGAGACGTCATGGAGTGGAATGTTAATTATCTTTTTCTGTCAAGACATTAGATTTTACGGGATCCTAGGACAATGGCAGGGTTGGGTAAAAATAGCGGTATATTGTCAAGGGTTGGGAACCTCAGTTGACACCCCTGTCCTGTTGAATACATCGTTGACCTATCTTAAATATTGTTGTCAAGGCCAAATAAGCTTCATACCTACTTTTCCTTATCTCAGATTCCTACAGTGTGCACTTTTTATCATGTCTTTAATTCATAGCTCACTCAGCTTACAACCAGTCTCAACACCTCAATTTACAGTGACATAATTATTTCTTTTAAATCAACTATGGGATATCAATTAAACATTTTACTAAGTGAAGACTTTCAGCTGTGGCGATTAAATAGGAGCCGAGAGTTGGCAAATTGGTGGGAAGGAGAGAAGATGTCACCATACATTTTCTCGCAAATGATGATGGGGGACCGTAACTAAATGAATGACTTAAGTAAAAAAAAAAATAGTGTTCAGACCCTCCTTACCCAGCTTCCACCACTGGTACCAGTGGCTAGGATCGTATGTACAGAATCAGTAGATAATTATCTCACAAGAGTTGTCGAATTACCCGACGATCGGTATCAGGCTATCAGTGTACAGACAAACACAGGCAGGTAGATTTCCACTAGGTCACAGATACACACTTGTGCAGTAGTCTTCTTTAAAAAACACTAATTCTTCACAACACTGTAACAGGGTAATGGCTTCACAGCTTGACTCCGCACTTCGAATATATACTGCAGTTGTTACACTACCAGTGTACAATTCTTCAGTCTTCTCACTTTATATTAATCGCAATAATTCCACAATACTTGCACAACAATTATTGTCTTCAGTTGTACTGCTAGGCTTAGTCTTTACACTAGGAACAGGCGAGCAACTCACTGACTCTTGACTTGACTTGACGTCTGTAGATAAGGTAGAGGAACTATTGCTTGTACTGCTGAGTGGGAGGACAGGGATTAGGATTGGAAGTACTTTGGTGGCAATTTGGGGGAGGGGGGATTGATTTAGGACCAAGGAAAAAGAGGGAGGAAAATTGAAGGACAATAAGAGATTAACAGTATGCGGGCTCAACCAGATATGCGGAGGTTATAATAATTATATTTGAACTTACATCTTGCGTGATTAGGTTCTAACTCTCAAGCCTTTTTCATTTAGTTAAAAATGTTTATTTTTGCAGTAACCATTGTTCCAAGGAAGGGGCAACAACCTCTAGTGGAGCTGGCTGGGCAACGTATCTTTTGTTTAATAAGAGTGTTGGAGAGGCCAAGGATAGTGTCGTTTGGTCACTCTCATCTTTTTAATGAAACATTTTTGTTTTAGAGAATTAAAGTTTTTTGTTTATAGTAGGGAGATTAAATTTCTAAGAAGAGGTGTAGGATCCAACTTGCTACTTTTGTTCGCAAGGAGATAGTCCATCTTTTTGGTTTAATTGAAAGTTTGAAGCTTGACTTGAAGGTACAGCATTTATAGGCGATACAGTTTTTGTTTTTGTATTAATTTTTAGATGTATTTTGGTACTGACTCTAGGCAGCCCGCACCAGCTTATATGTAAGGTTCGTCAGAGGCCTAGAACATTCTAGCGATGTCCAGACGCGGGAGGTCGGCTCGAGACCCGCTTGGAGAATTATCGAATGATCTCGGCTTGCAATAAGAGATAAATCAGAACAAAAATGATGCAATACATTCTAGAATATTCTTACATAATTAATACATCAATATCATCAATATATACACGAAAATTTCATTAAATTTACCCCCAAAACTGCTGCAGGGGGCATAATACAATCAAACAACCTAGTTTTTAAGATTATAATGCAAAATTAAGCCTCGGCATAACAATAGGACCAAAATTACACCGAAGCTACAAATCAATTAAATGTATTCACTTTGTTTTTTACGGGCATTAATCACCCGGGCACAAATCATTTTATAATGACCCACATTAAGGCCTGAGTAGAATGACTTTCGCGGTGAAGTATTTATATGATCCTGCCTACTGAAGGTCCAGAGAAGCAAGATGAAAGGCGCCGCTGATTACCTGAGGTAAGGGCGGTAACTAGCCAATCTGCGAGCGACTCTGGGGCAGGAGCTGTGGTCTGGAACTCGCTGCTGATTGGCTGAGGCGAGGACGGGAGAACAGTTGTAGGGGAGAGTATCCACTGCAATACTCCCCTTCCCCTCAGTCTTACACTCGAGCACCACGTGAGTATTTTTCAGACACATAACAGTGTAGATTTCTTGCAGTTTCACGTCGTGTAGGTATGTCCATGTTTCGAAACTCCTTACACATGGGTAAGCTGTGAGGCCATGAGCAGAGGGGCCATGTTTCATATATGCCTTCATTCTTTACAGCCGTTCTTCTGTCGGTGGTAACTGCTAAACCTATGGCTCCTCTGCTTGACGCACAGTTGTAGCGTACTGTATGTGGCCAGTTGTCAAGTTTCTGTGTTAGTCTATTTTCTCTTTGTTAGGCTCACATACATACGTACATGTAGATCTCGCACTAAGGATGGAGGTAAGAAGGGGAAACTTACAATGCGTTTTCTGTATATATATATATATATATATATATATATATATATATATATATATATATATATATATATATATATATATATATATATTGTATGTACAGTGCAGTGCTAGGGAGTTGCTGTGTGGTGAGGAGCTTGCTGAGAGGTCCTGTTGGGTGAGGAGCTTGCTGAGAGGTCTTGTTGGTTTTGGAGCTTGTTGAGAGGACTTGTTGGTTTGAGAACGTTGAGTAGAATGATCTCCACGGCTAGGCTGAGTTGTATTTCTACGATTCTCCAGGATCAGAAAAGTGAGGTGAAGGCGGTAACAGACCAATCACCGCGCAGTCCGAGAGTGAGGCCTGGGTCTGTGGAATTCCCTGCTGATTGGCTGGTAAGCGGACGGCAAGAGATCAGTCAGCAATTGTAGGGGAGAGTATCCACTACAATACTCCCCCTCCCCTCCGAGCGCTGCAGGAGACTTGTTGTCGGCAGGGTTGTATCCCACATGTGAGACACAACGGGCGGGGGTGTGGATCAGTCGGCCGCTACGGGAGACGACTCTGTCTAGTGATGCGGAATCTGTGGGAGAAGGAGGGTTGTAGAGGAGAGAGGGTTGAACAGGCGAGGAATGTGGTGCTTCTCTCGCGGCAGGTGCACAGACCTCAGGGGAGCCGGGTGGGGTGTCTGAGTCCATAGAGCCGGCTGCAGGATCCTCATCAGGAGCAGGGTCCACGTCAGGAGCTGGATCCACGTCAGGAGCAGGGTCCACGTCAGGAACAGGGTCCATGTCAGGAGCAGGGTCCACGTCAGGAGCAGTAGGTACCTGAGGATGAAAAGAGGGTACCCAGAAATGTTGTGGGCGAGGTGCTGTAAGCAGCAATTGTGGGCAGACTGGTGAAGGAGGTACGGGATGAATATGTTCAGGGCGATGGGAAGGCTGGCGTGGGGCAGTAGCCTTGAATGCAGAAACTGCCTGTCGTAGTGTTTGTAGTAGGTCGTGAAGGGCAGTAGTAGTGAAGTGGTCAAGGTCAGAAGTAAGGCGTGTGATGTGCTGCTTGATAGCGTCGGAGGTTATGGCGTCTACCAATCTCTGTCAATGTCCCTTCCTCGTGTAGTTGCAGGGAGCCTCACAGCGTCTAGCATTAGCACCAAAATGTTGATGGTACCAACAGAAGGTAGGTACACTGAGCTGGGGGCTGGCGTCCAAGGCAGGACGGGGGTCTTGGGATCGGTAGGACACAGTGCGTGGGGCAGGAACAGGAGCAGCTGCAGGCTTGGAGGAGCAGAGCTGCTCGAGGGTGTTCATCCTGCGGTGTAGGGACTGTAGCAGGTCCCTCATGTCTTGTGAAGTGTTACTCGTCTGGGGAGCGTCGATCAGGTCGACAAGACCGGAGGAAAGCGACGGTGTGGCCGCAGAGTTGTTTGTGGCAGCATGGCGCACAGCAGTGTATTCGTGGAATACTCTGTCTGCCTTGGCTGCATAGGTCGCCGAGGTAGTAGAGTAGTCCAATGCTGAGAGGACGAGACGAACTTCTGCAGGGAGCTTCTGAGTGTGAAGCTGGCGCAGGATAGTGTCAGGAAGCCTGTCTGTGTGGCGGGAGTTGTCTTCGTATCTCGTCCCAGAGACGGGCAGGCGTTGAGTTGCCGAGGGAGAGGCCGGATAGGTCTTGCAGGAGACAGGTGTCGGTATCGCCTTTTGAGAGCATCTCGTAGAGCTGCAAATTTGTTGTCAGCTGGAGGGTTGGCGATTGTTTCTGTTAACACCGACGTATGCACTGATACTGCACGAGACCTCCTTGACACTCGACCAATATCTAGCCAGAGTATATCCCTACATGGAAATCTGTAGTACTGTAATAATAATAATAATAATATAATAAACGGTTTATTAAAAGAGTTGCAGCCGGTGGCTGAAAATATACAAACTTACATTTGATTTAGACATAATGATATGCGTTGAATACATTTACAGGGCTGTACAGTACATAAATCAGTTGTTTATTATTTTAATAAATGGGATGGTGCTATTTTTATATCTATCAGTGCGGGCTCTTATGGGCTGAATTTTGTTGTAGTGGCTGACTGCGCGAGGTGGGCGGGGGACTGCCGGTGGCAGGTGGCGGCGATGACGAATATGCAGTAGTCCCCTACCAAACCTTGCTAGTGCTTGGTGGTGGAGGTCACTGAGGGATGGCATTTCTAGGGTGAAGAGAGCGTTGGTGTAGCTGGAGTAGTCTGCGCCGAGAATGATTCTGCAGGCCCTCTTCTGTACCTTCTCTAGCTGACATTGTTGGGTGGAGTTGAGAGAAGACGACCAGGCTGGTGACGTATACATTGTTTGGGGAGAATAAAGGAGTTGTAGAGAGTCCTCAGCTCTGGCGTGGGTGTCCCAAGTGACCTAAGTCGTCGTAGCATGTAGAGTCGGTACGAAGCTGCCTTGATTGTGTTGTTTAAATGGGTCTTCCAGTCCAGTTTGTGGTCTATGGTAACACCCAGGAGTTTGGCAGACTGCACTAACCGGAGAGGATGGGCACCCACTGTGACTGCTGGAGCTTGCACTGGAGTGGTGGCGGCATTGATGTGCAAGACTACGGTTTTGGTGTGGTTGATGGTGACCTTGTTCTCCGTAGTCCATGCCTGTAGCCTGTCCAGGGTGCCTTGTATCGATGAGTAGTCTGGTGCGGTGTTGTCCACTGTAACCCCCACAGTGCAGTCATCCACGTACTTCCACCTATGAGGAGTGTCCAATAGAGCGTCGTTGATCAGGATGAGGAAGCACAGTGGTCCCATCTTGGTCCCCTGGGGAACACCGCATGTGAGGTGTTGGAATGTGGAGACAGAACCCTGATACCTCACTGCCTGACGATGTCCACTCAAGAAATCAGTGAGCCATGAGACCAGGTTGGTGGGCAGCCCTAGTGCAATGGCCTTTTTGATAACAGTGCAGTGATCAACAAGGTCAAAAGCCTTCCTGTAGTTAACAAGGGCAAAGGCCAGTGATGTCTTACGTTTCTGCAGGTTTTTGTGCAGGAAATCCAGAAAACTAACTAAGCAGTGTGATGTACTGTAGCAGTATGTGGTCATCAATTTGTAGAGGGTCCAAAGGATCCCTGAACACCCTTTAACTCCAAATTGCACGGTCATGAGCTAAAGCAACCATTCGTTACAGCTGCACTGTCACCAGCGATACTTGAAGTACGTCTGATAGCCGTGTGTGTTTTAGTGTGGATTGTATAGTAGAGATAACGGGAGTTACAAGAACATATTTCCGCTTGCGGAAGCAAATGGGCTGCTCTGGGGCCACCGTAACTTTTGCTGTACGATAAGTTTGGTTATGGCCACTGTAAACTGTTTGTGAATCACCCATTCAGCCTTAAGGTTGATCATAGCGATTTACAGTGACCTTAAGTCATTAGTGAATCTGGGCTTCAGAAAATAAACAAAAGTAATTCTAATAACTTGGCAATGAAGATTTATTAATATCTCCATAAATTCAACGGGGAAAAAAAGAGTCACTACTAATCAGTCTAATGTTGAGCGGGGGCCACAGAATAAATCAGCACAACTCCCCCACCCAGAGCTCTTGCACGATGACAAACATAAGAGAGTGGCAGCACTGTGAAGCAGACCCACATGAACTTGGCATTTCAGAAATAAGGTGAAACTAAAGGAGCATAATGATCCCTCCACATCTGTTACTGTATCTACATTGTGACTTTACTTAATTATTCCAAAGTCCCAAGTGAACAACAAAAGTTCATTGGTATTAATATCCTTAAGTTGTTTGGTATTTATTTTTTGACAAACAAAAAAAGTCTATAGTTGTTCTCATTTTGCCATTTTACTTATACACGGTCAAGTAATTGTGACCCTTTAATTATTGTACACAGTCTGGATTCACTTATATATACAGTATTCAGTATGATCGTAAGGAGCCTGCCAAATGAGGTCCATCCACGAATTATGTGCTGTGTCTCATCACTTAAGCTAAGCCATATCCCCCAACTGACATCCCACCAACACCCACACACAATGCTTATTAGTCTTGTGTCTACCTTTGTTGTGTGAGCTCTATGCAATCTGCTCGCCTTTACCCCTTGTCAAATGTTTACCATGAACTGTAAGGAGAAAGTATGTGAAAGTAACCCAAAAACTGGTACTGTACTACATATACTAAATGTGAGAAGAACCATAAAAAAGCATCAACTTTAGTACAGAACATGGAGTTGTTGGTCAAGACTTACTGAGGGTGAAGGCTCATCACTTACAGCATGAGTTTATGGCCTAAATGAGTTGAATGTGCATACAGTGAAAAGAAATGAGGCAAAAATGAAAGAGTGCACCTCAAGGTATTAAAGTGTCATTTTAAAGTCATAAACCTGCTATACAAGACCCCCAACTTCTGGACTGAGGACCAAACACAGAAAAAAGTTCCACTAGATGGGCCAGTGATTCAAGAAAAACCCAGACATTCTTTCACAAGCATGATTCTACCACCACCATTACTGCTGCCTACACCATGTTCTTTTCTAAGCACAAAACCACCACCATTGCCTCCATCTCCACCAGATATGTTCCACACCCCCGGTTTGTTCAGGCAAACCCTCAGACTTCTGACTTTAATATTAATATTAAAATTATATCAAGTTCATCATCAACACTTAATGTTAATATAATAATTTAAACACCGTACCATTGAAATTTTTATAATGTATTGGTTTGTTGCATATAATGTACTGTATATTAAGTAATTGGATGAATGAGGGAGTCCATCGAATGAACCTGGAACCAAACTCTCTATTTGCCAGAAGTATTTATTTAGTGTCTATTTACAGTGTTTAATAAGAACACAATCAACATGTAAATTAAGTGTTGATTATTTTGTTATCTAGTTTTGTTTGTGTTTTTAAATCAATACAGAGAAATTTGCAGTAAAAGAATGGAGAAATTTAGAAGTACAGTCAACCCTCACATTACGCGGTCCCGCATTCCGCGGTTCACCGTTAACGCGGTGCCCTGCCGGAACCTAACATGCTCACATTCCGCGGTCGTGAACCCCATTACGCGGAGAGCGGCTGGCAAGCCGCACCATTTTTGGATCCAAACCTCCCGCCATCCGCCATGTTGTGTAAGAGGCGCGAAAATGGTGCGCACAAGGTCGCCCAGTCATCAAAACATTACCAGTTCTTCACCCGCCACCCACTACAGCCGGCCCAAGTCAGTGATAGTGATAATTATAGTGAGGATATGGACTTATATGAACTTTGGGGGGTTTGACAAAGAGGCCCTGCAAGCCTCTGTGGTGGATAGTGATACAATTGATACAAGTGATACAGGTGAGGGCCAATAATCTGCCCTCTGCCTCGGAACCAACCGCCCATCCCCGTGTGCCCAGCCATCTTTTCTACTAATGTAAGTGTTAAAAAACCTAATATTATTGATATTTCTCTTAATTATTAATTGTGTGTGCATGCCATCATAAAGTTAAGATAATATTTTTACTACAACATAGTTGTGTGTCGTCAAAAAGTGGAGTTTGGGGATCGGCCTGGACTCCATTTCAATTAATCCCATATGTTATGTTGTTCACTTTACGCGTTCCTCACTTTCCGCGGTACCCTCCGGGTTACATTAACCGCGTAATGTGAGACCCAACTGTACTGTATAGTTATAAAAATGACAAGCATGTGTGCAAATGTATGGGAAACAGGATGCATAGAAAAAGAAATGCTTACAGCATTGTACTACAGCAGTGCATAAACAGGGAATGTGAGGCAGAGCAGACATGGACCTGTTTGGGTGTTATGGCCATACTGAGAGAACAGGAAGTGAAACAATGATACATAATACAGAGGTTCATGATCGGGGAAAAGAGAAATGAGGGTGGTGGACATCCAAGAAGCAATAGAATGCCTGAATGAGTGGAAAGAATGAAGCCAAGTGATGTTTGATGAAGGGCATGTTAGTGAAGAATTAGGCTATGCCAGACATGGGGACTTGATGTGGTAGGGAAGTACCATAGCAGAATACATCTCTCATGGCAGCAAGAATAAAAGAAGAGAAAATATGTTTGTCCATTAGCTCATTTCCTTTTGTCCCGCATTAAGCTGACAAAAGACTCGAAAGTATTAAAAAATAATACAGATTTAAACATGCAAGACATAATTTAATTTTAAAATTTTTGATGTTAATGCATATTTTGGAGCATGAAAATGAAACAAGGATTTCAAAGACTTCCAAAAGGTCAAGTTATCAAGTGATGGAAAATACCTGCATATGGTACTTTACGATTTTCATTTTTATGTATGGTAACTAACTGCCATCATCAGGAGACAGGTAACTAACACTTATGTCACAGTTAATGATTCACTTATAAACAGCTCAATAGGTAAAAATAATTGATTACTGCAACAATGTTGAATAAAAATCTTATTGTCAAAAAAAATTTACTTTCAATCAATTGGCCATAATTTTAAGTTAGTAAAGCTGCAAAAAATGTCTAGCACAAAAAATATCACACACTACCTAAACCCATCCTTGTACATATTCCTGTGCTACCTAAAACTCTTACAAATGTGTAGCAGGATTTTGTCATTACAACCCAGTGCATATCAGGATGTCAAATATAAGGCCTCTTACTTGTTAACCATAATTATTTGCCATAAATCTTGGACACAATAATGTGCACTCTTCAGATCCAAAAATTTGTTTTGCATAAAAATTTCTGAAAATACAGTATAGATGTGATGCTTATTGATAAACACTCACACTGTTTACTTCTTGGGAGATTTGTTTGTATGTACAGTACAGTCATTTTTCAGTGATGGGCAGGTCAAAACTCCTCATCATATTAACTAGAGAACCTCTGACCAAAACACAAGTTATCCTATGTTGCTGAAGTACCAGAAAATGTTCAGAATTTCTCATATCACTGATGCTGCTAAAATAGGATACGGGTAGTCCCTCTTACTCAAATACCTACTATTCTAAATGATCACAGATCAAATGCAATATCTGCACAGTAGCTATCTTCCTCTATCACTTGGGAGGCAAACTTCTAAAATCAAATTATTAGACTTTAGTTTCTTTAAATAAAGTCTTTAGTTTTACTTTCAAAACAGACTTTTTTGATTTGCAAGATATTCTTTTTGTCAGTCAGTTTGTTAAAGAAGAAATGGAAATGGACACTTCTTGGTTTTTGCTGGACACCAAACAGTCGATTTGTATGAAGGACTATGTTGATACTCTCTTGTAGAGATAGATGTAGCCAAGGTCCAGGGGAGGGTCTACAGACTTTGATACTTTGTTGTCGTTAAAGATGGTCCACTCTCCGTCTTTCTTTATGTGACATACGTAGTGGCCCACAAATATTGAAGTTCCCATGTGGCTTATAAAAGCAGTTAGCTCATATCTGCAATACCAAATGGATGGTTGAAAAGGCACAGGAAATTATTAGGTTCGTAATCCATACCCTTCCTCATAAGTCCAGGACAAGTTTATTCCAATAGAACAATGACACAAGTAGGGAATGGGTATGGCACTGAAGAATCAATATCAATGTACTACAGATGCACATTTAAAATCTATTACATTATATGCTAATTTCATAATAAGGGTTTTTTCTTTCTAAATATCAAGCCAAAGAAAGATGAAAAGCAAGATATTTTTTACAACACTACGTGATCACAAATGTAAGCTGGAATAGTATGACGGACGGACAAAGAACACGACACTTTCTTGGTGTAGTTAATTTTGGTTTGAAATAATCTCCCTAGTTCCTGCCTTACTTGCTGATGCTTCTTGAGATTTCCTTCAAATTTTGGTTTGCTTTAGTCTGTGTTGGGACACGGGAATAGAAGGAGTGACTATTTCAAGAAAAATTGCTTTTGGACTTTAATTAATGGTTGATATGAAGTAAAAAGGAACTATTGAGCTATTTTAGGGGATAATGTTCACCTCACAGATGGGAAAAAGAATCAAAGATGGAAGATTGGGTGATGAGATTTATAGTTATGAGAGACAAAGGAGTAACAGGACACATGACAAGAATGATGATGGGAGAGAAACTATAGGTGTGGTGAGGCCTGGTAAAAGGCTATTGTTATACATGCGTATCCAATATTGGAAAAACAAGGAGTATTCAGAACTAGATTTTTTAAACTTGGGGCCAATGCACATAGAATACATACTTTGAGGGGCCATCTGTGTAACTTGGCTTCTGTGGAGGAGGAACGGCAGCTGCCCCACTCTGAGCTGCCAGTAGGGAATCCAACTCATGTTGATGAGAAAATATCCAATCCGCTGCACGTTCCAGGCTATTGCTGGTCTCTTTAAGAGCTAGTGCTGCTTGTTCCCGTGTGAAGCCCATTGACATCAACATTGCCAGACCTTCTTCATTTGGGGTGAAATTATCATTTCCTGAAAAAAATAAGAAGGTATTTAGGCCAAATGAAATGATATATAAAAACATTTGCAAAGACAGAAACTGCAAAACACTAGAACTGAACTCCAATTTTTAAAACTTGAAAAGAATAAAATACACTAAGGTGATAGCTCCTGTACTGACTAAACAACACCAGATTCCTACTAATTATATTGCTATAAGTGTAAAAAATGTCAACATGTACTTTTCACGAAACAAAGGATTACCAGTACCTTCTGAGGGACACATTTAGCCAGGTCCAAATTTGGAGAAGTATTAGCTCAAACTAAAACTATGTACAAGTAAGCCGCAAATTCGTGCAAATTGGTATCCCACTGTGGCCGAATTTCCTAAAGGCACAGGTTTGTGGAATATGCGTTACAAACAGAGGAAACTTTGCTAATCTTTCGCTAAAAAACTATTACATCAGTAAAAACTAATAATAACAGTAAATCAAGTGAAATATGGCAAGGAGGGAGGAGAAATACAACTGTAGATGACGCTTTAACTTGTGGTCACTCACTGGATATAGTACTGTTATTAGTAGTGTTTACGGATATAATAGTTTTTAATAATGATTAATCATGACATTGTAGCCAGGTTAAACTCATCACTGTAACCACCAGGATACCAGACCAAGCTGTGGTGTCATGGTTGTTTTTCAACTCGTAATTTTGGATGATATTTGTAACTTCTTCATTTAATTTTACTCATATTATGAAAAAAGTAAAATAAATAATTGATCTTAGGGCAAACACGTACATTACTGTAAAGGGAATATACATTTCTTTGCACACGAGTTAGCTGGCTGAGAAGACAGTCGCAGTGTGTAGAGGGGGGGGGGACGTTGCTAGGGTATTGGCGTGCCAGCTGATGTTCGTTACTATGGTGAAACAGGGAGTAACATGCAAATGTTACTTCCATTTGACTTTTATTTACTGATTTGATGATACAATATTTTTTGTTGATATTATTTTTATTTATTCCTCACATTTCCTGGTACTGTATATTATTTTAACAAAACTATGGCTACAGGAGGAAAATACAAAAAAATAACAAATTCTAAACACTTCCTACTGTAAAACACGATACTGTATTTTTGGTGTTTTTTAAGTAATTAATTTTCGTTTTTATAAATTTAGTACATTCACCATAGGCTGAAGTAGCATTCATATTTTTTGCATTACTGTACTATTGAAAAATTAAACAATAACCATAGCCCCTAGGAAAGTGTTTGGTGTCCATAAGGGTGATGAGAAGGTTAAGCCCAAGACCTTATTAGTGAACTAAAAGTAAGTGTACAGTACTTTTTAAAATTAATTTTGATTAAAAAAAACACGGACTTCTTTCATAAAACTTGGATACATTGGTGATGGACTCGTTTTTTGTTTAAAATGGCGGTCTTTTGGGAAAAATTTGCTCTAAGGTGGTGTAACAATGTCAGGAGTTTCCCGCCAAATTCGAGCCAATAGAAATGCCTCAGGCCTGTCTTCAGCCAATGAGGCATGACGTCATTAAGCTGTTCCTTTGTGCCACCCAGTTTGATAACCACAAGGAAAGAAGAAAACATGAAGTTCCCAAGCGCTTTCATGTAATTCACATCTTCAGGGGTGAGTACAGACTGTACTCACCCCTGAAGATGTGAATTACACGAAAGCACCTGGGAGCTTCATGTTTTCTTCTTTCCTTGTGGTTATCAGCATATACCTGGATCACGCGCAACTACAGTGATTTACTTGCATAAATATATATACACATACTGTGTGTGTGTATATATATATATATATATATATATATATATATATATATATATATATATATATATATATATACTCTTTTGTATATACATACTAGTATATCTTAAGACATATAACTTACTAGAAGATGTGTTCTTAATTACAAGAGGATCAGCAAAGTCGGGGTCACCCATATGTTCCATCACCCAGTTCATTGCAGCTTCAGTGCCACTGTTTCCAGTAAGATGGACAGCTTTTCTGCAAGCCTCCCAAGGAAAGCCCATCTCTGCAAGCTGCTGCACAATTTCAGCATCTATTTCTGGTTCTGTAAAATATAAATTTTAAGACAAAGTAATATAAACAGTCATAACTTTAACAAGCCACAAGAAAGATATATTGTAGACGGTCACCTCCTGTCAGATAATGAGTTTCAGTCACTCCCATATTGTCTGAATTGGACACACAGACATCAAGAGCACTACATGTCAGTCATACTCACCTGCCAAAGATCAACAACTTAGCAAGATACACTAGAAGGGAGGTCTGAGCATTTTGCTGCAGAACATTACATGAAACACTAATTCATTCAATTGCTTGTTAACACTGTCTACATCAGTTATTTGTAAGGCCCGAATTCAGAATGCTGGTTTGAAACCTCTGGCTACTGGCACAAATGCGAGTCCTGAAAGAAGAACTGCCCTTGTGGCAAAAGAGCTGGCTTGGTATAACGTCGACATAGCAGCCACCAGTAAGTCCCGGCTCCCAGACGGGGGCCAACTCAAAGAATGAGGGTCTGGCTACACCTTCTTCTGGAAGGGTAAACCTGCTGCAGAGAGAAACAGCATTTATGGAGTTGGCTGTTGTAATGGTATTAATGAAATGTGATTGGCTAGAATTTCAATATTCGAATCCTTGCTCGGAATTGAAGAAAATGCCACAGATTACCCGATCTGAGGTTCAAGCCGATGTTCTGAATATGGGTAATCCATTGCAGGAAATCTCGAATCGAGGAATTCTGAATCGCACGCTTGAGATGAGCTCAAATCCTAGGCTCAAACCACCGTTCTGAATTTGGGCTTAAGGATCATATCATATCATATTTTGGGTTTTGTATACAAAACACCATCATGGGTTAATGTTTATACTGTATGACTAAAGGTCAATCAAATCATCTTCATGATAGCCAGCCTTTACAATGACAAGGGAAGAAAAGAAACTTGATACTGTCCCTGTGATAAACCTGTCAGCTGGGAATAGCTTCTAATTAGTCACCACTCGTCACCTTCAAAGTGCACATATGTCCTACAGCAGTGCCATGGAGCTCTGTCCATATTGTAAACTAGTCAATCAGAGAAAAACATGCCTAGAGAATCTTTGAAAGACAGATTCTGAGAGGACACCCAGAATATACTTCTTACAGCTACAGCCTACAATGTAATGGTAACTATTAACAGCTAGTTTTAACTTTGGGTGTGGTATAGTGTGGTCGGGTGTGGGGCAACAGCAGTAGTAATGGTAGCAGTAAGCTTGATAGAGGTTTTTCTGTAATCAGGCAGGTATAAAGTGAAGCTCCCCACAGTATAACCCTTACGCCCTAGGTGACATACTAAGACGCCGGACTAGCGCACCCCGGGTGACGTACAAAGACGAGCGCCTTTTCCCGCCATTCTTTTAATGCCCATTGCGGGTTAACAGGTACTAGCGTGACTATTTCTCTGTCACAGCACACGGAGGGGAGCGTGGGTGGGCTCAGAGCGGTCAGTAACCATTTCCCTGCAGTCATGGAGAGTCGCCCCTCAACCTCCCGTGTCATGTCGTCAACCCCGATCAAGCGTCGCCGTCGGTTGGATGATAGTGAGATACAAACAGATCTACGTGATGTGAGGGCTGTATTGTGCGATTCTGGTGAAAGAGGTGATCAAGGCAGTGATTATATGCCAAACGATCCTGAGGATAGTGTCGAGTTAGATGATGTTTTAAGGACAAGTGGTGATGAGGGCGAGGCACAGCCAGTGCGGTGTAGGCCCAACACACGTTCACAGCCCAGACAAGGGACAATGGATACTTTTGTTTGGTCTGATGACCGCAATTTCCAGCCTGACATCCCAGATTTCAAATGCTCATCAGGTGGAATTACTCCTGAATTTCCTTGTACAGAGGAATCAAGTGAGATGGACTACTTTTGTGCCTTCTTTGATACTGTGTACTGAAAAAAATAAATTTTATCAGTACACGTGTGATGCTGACCCCCACCCTGGCCCCTCGCCAAAATTGCGCCGATGGACTGATGTTGTTGTGTCCGAATTACATGTGTTTTTTGCATTACTAATGCTAATGGCACATGTGAAAAAACACGTACTTCAGGAGTACTGGATATCTCATGATGACATCACAGCAACTCCATTGTTTTCGAAATTCGTGTCAAGAGACCGGTTTGCCTCCATCCTGCGTTATCTACACTTCTTGGACAACACCAACCCTGTGGCTGGTGACCGACTCTGGAATATAAGGACAGTTTTTATTATGCTGAAGGAATGATTCATGAAGTTCTTCAAACCTTCCAGAATGTAGTGGTGGACGAGTCTCCGGTGCTTTTCAGAGGACGTGTTGTTTTTAGACAATATATTCCCTCCAAGCAACATCGCTTTGGGATAAAGTTCTTCATGCTGTGTGACTGCGATACTGGGTATGTCTTAGATCTTGTAGTTTACACAGCAAGTGATGTAGACATGCCCAAGGATGACTCGCATGGTTTCTCTGGCGCTGTTGTCAAGAAATTCATGAACCGCTACTTTGGAGGGAATCACGCCCTCTACACGGAAAATTTTTATACCTCTCCTGCCCTGGCCAAGTTCCTACTTGAACATGACACTGGTTCTTGTGGGACAGTACGTAAGAACAGGAAACACTGGCCTGTGTTTCCTAGTAAACTTGCACGAGAAGACATCCAACTGAAGCAAGCAGACAAGATGGTTGCATTACGTTGGCATGACAAGCGTACTGTGCAGATGCTGTCAACCGTTCACAAGGGCAAAATGGTGGACAGTGGCAAAAGGGACAGGGCAACAGGAGGCAGTGAAAAAACCTGATGTTGTCGTGGACTACAATGTCAACGAGTGCTTCATGGACAAGAGTGACATGCAGGTTGGCACAGTTGAGTGTGTACAGAAATGTCTCAAGTGGTATAAGAAGATTTTCCTACACCTCTTGGACATCACCATCCTGAATGCGTACAACTCGTATCTTGTAAAATCCGGGAAAAATCCCTTGCTTGCTCTCCCAAACACAAAGACAGCCGAGCACTTTTTATGAAAAGTACTGTACTGTACAGGAAATCCTCCGATAACGACGGTTCTACCAATGACGATTCATATTTAAGACCCTGGTTAATTTAGGACCCAATTCATTTTACACCGTTATTTTCTTCGTATTTACGAGGAAAATGGAATAAAAATAAAATAAAATTACATTTTCACATTAATAACTAAATCCCGATATGTATTATACAAAAATAAAAGAAAACACACCTTGCACACGGAGGCTGCCGGACTTGTGAGTGGTGATGCCAGCAACACTAGTATAAACAGTTGCAGATTGGCGGGCCTTTTGTTTTCACGCATGTGAAAAGGAAAAAAACATTCTCAGATTTCTTACGGCATTTTTGCGTCCCTATTCAACATGAGCAAGAGAGCAAGTGATGGTAGTGCTGGTTCAAAAGCTAAAAGAAAGTGTAAAGTTTAGCTGAGAAACTAGATGTGTTAAAATGATATGAAAAGGGTGAGAGGTCTGTGGATATTATATGGAGCAAGCAATGAACATATTTTCTGAAGTGGATCCATTAAGAGAACAAAGCATTAAAATTAACAGGGACATGAAAAATGCATATGACCTCTGCATAAAGATGTATAATGAGAAAAGAAAGCAGCTCTGCAAGGTTCTTTCGACAGCTTTATTATTCGAAGGCCTAAACCATCAACTTCAGCAACACCATCAAATTCAGCATCATAAGCAACTTCAGGTTCAGAAACAGTTTCAGCAACAGCTATGACATCTTTATGGAAAGCTACAGCTTCAGCCAGAGTTGAACCTAATGACTTCGTCATCTGAGTAAAAACTCGCACAATATTCATTGGTGAGTAGAATTTTTGTTTTACATTGGTATGTATTATTTAAAACATATATGAACAGTAATAAGTAACACTTTCATATTCTTATGTTGAGAAATGACGATATTTTCACATGTACGCACTCACACACGGCGTTCCCAACCCATTTCGTTATTTCTTTACCATTAGTGGTTATCTACTTCTATTGTTCCATTTATTGACATTAATTAAAACATATACAGTTGGTCCTCATATTACGCGGTTAATGTAACCCGGAGGGTACCGCGGAAAGTGAGAAACGCGTAAAGTGAATAACATAACATATGGGATTAATTGAAATGGAGTCCGGGCCGATCCCCAAACTCCACTTTTTGACGACACACAACTATGTTGTAGTAAAAATATTATCTTAACTTTATGATGGCATGCACACACAATTAATAATTAAGAGAAATATCAATAATATTAGGTTTTTTAACACTTACATTAGTAGAAAAGATGGCTGGGCACACGGGGATGGGCGGTTGGTTCCGAGGCAGAGGGCAGATTATATTATTGGCCCTCACCTGTATCACTTGTATCAATTGTATCACTATCCACCACAGAGGCTTGCAGGGCCTCTTTGTTAAACCCCCCAAAGTTCATATAAGTCCATATCCTCACTATAATTATCACTATCACTGACTTGGGCCGGCTGTAGTGGGTGGCGGGTGAAGAACTCGGTAATGTTTTGATGACTGGGCGACCTTGTGCGCACCATTTTCGCGCCTCTTACACAACATGGCGGATGGCGGGAGGTTTGGATCCAAAAATGGCGCGGCTTGCCAGCCGCTCTCCGCGTAATGGGGTTCACGACCGCGGAATGTGAAAATGTTAGGTTCTGGCAAGGCACCGCGTTAACGGTGAAACGCGGAATGCGGGACCGCGTAATATGAGGACCAACTGTACTGTATATTCATTTTTTTTTACATTAATTTTACTACAGCTACAACCAGGGTCTTATTTTCTCCAGTTTCTTATGTAGAACCATCGTCATTCGCCACGGGTGTTGTAAACATTAACAAAAACAATGCCGTCTACTCTCCTCTTGTGTGTTTTAATACATATTCAGTAATAAACAATAATGAATCTTTTGTGCATATGCTTAATAAAATAAATGACGCGGTTTCCTTGAGGGCGCACGTATACACACTGGAGTTCCGCTATCACTTTTATTCTTAAACTCTATTGGCTACTTTTACTGTACATTAAACAGCATTAATTAAAACATACATATTTTTTTATATTAATTTTACTACAGCAACAACCAGGGTCATATTTTCTTCAGTTTCAGATGGATAACTGACATTATGGGTGTAAACACTGACAACAACAATGGTGTCGCATCTCCTCTTGGGTGACCATATTATTTTTTCATTTATATTGTATAAGGTGCATTCATAAACATTATTTAAAGAATATAGTTTGCATTTTTCATTAATTTTATTGTTTGGGGGGAAAAGAGGGTAAAAGGCCACACAGAAGATATGAAAAGGTCACACTTGGGAACGCATCTCATTATTATTGCTTTATTTCAATATTAATTAATGATTCACGATACGATGATTCACCTTACACTGCAATATTGGAGTACACATTACCGTCCTTATTCGAGGCTTTACTGTAGTGCAAATAAAATAAATTCTAAATTAATTATTTATAGGAAATAAGTATTATCAGTAAATAAATGCATTATTAGCCATCTCAGACACAAAGGCAGGCGGAAAAATTACCCTTATGTGCGTCGTGACCGCAAGCACTCGACGTAAAAAAACACTTTTCCCCTTATTTGCCTCGTTACTGAGACACCACGGAAGTTTGTAGAGGTACAATATATAGTTATACGTCTTTTTGATTGTTTTATCATTTATAAAGGTTCAAAATTATTTTTGGAAAAGTTAATTTTTCTTGTTTTATCCCACGTGGTGGGCACGGCCGGCGCCACCCTAGTCTGGGGCGTAAAGGTTAAGACATATAACATCAAATCCCTTCCTTTGTTTGAATAAATTAAGAAATACAGATTTCTCTTTAAACAAGGAGTAATAGATGGACAACTCCAGTACAGTATATGTAGAATAGAGATACTGTATGCACATGTTAAATAAAAAAAAAAAAAAAAAAAAAAGCATACTTCCCTTAATAAAAAATTCATACACACTTGTAAGTCAATAAAGTAGTAAATATAAAACAATCTATGTTACAGGATGGACACAAATTTACATATTCACACAACTGCCATAACAACAAATTACCAAAAAAATTAACAGTAAACTATTTACAAAAATAAAAAAAATTATTCAAGCCATTACTTCCTTTATACATACAGGTACAGTAAATCTTTGCCATTTGCGGGTTTGCAATTCGCAATTTCGATGATTTGCGAGCCTTTTTCCGCAGCATCTCATGTTGTACAGTCATTTTTGCTACAATGCGTGTTTTGTCAACGCGAATTGGCTATAACGCGATTGATGAATAGAAGAACGATATTTGTAAAACGCGAACGCGTGTTGGCTGTAACGAGATTCCACTCGAACGTTTTAAGTGTCCTGTCGCTTGGCGCGGGGTTATGCAGTGTTTACAGTTCACGTTCGACATCACATGTTCAATTGATTTATGTGTTTTGTTTGTGAAGTGTTATTTGATAGGGACTATAAATTTCACTTTTTTTTTTTTTGCAAATTTAGCTGTTCCCATAAATATTGTATGAAAAAAAAAAAAATAATAATAATATTTTGCAGTGCGGACTAATAGCGTTTTACACCCGCGCTCTCTGCTTCCATCACACGATCAGTTGTTTTGAAGCGTCCTCAGTGATTTTTGCTTACTATTTCTCCAATTTTGTGGTATTACAGAGTAATTGTAAATATGGAAAAGTAGAATATCTCCAAGAAGCGTTCTGGTGATCGCATTCCTGGTGGTGATCGTAAAAGAAAGGCCATAACACTTGAAGAGAAGTTTGATGTTATCAAGCGTTTTGAACGTAAGGAAAGAACATGTGATATTGTGTGTGCAACGGGAATAGCTAAATTTGAAAAAAAGAATCCTTTGTGTTAGGCTAACTACTAATTTTTTTTCGATTTCGGGTAATCTGCACCTAACCCTATTTTCTCCATAAGCCCTGTTATTTCTATTGCGCGAATTTCTACAACGCGAGGTTTTACAAGAACACAACTATCGCGTTGTAGCAGAACTAACTGTACTCTCAAAAAATAAGTGTTTCTGTGTGAAAATGGACCCTAAAAGACTGCCTAGTGTCAGTGCTAATGATGCTAGTGACGTGAATAATGTAAAAGGCAGAAGTCAGCGATGACCCTGACAAAGAAAGTTGAATTCTTAGACAAGTTAAAGGAAGGATGAGTGCTGCCACGGCTGGTTGGTTGTTTGGTATAGGTATACAGTAGTGCACTAAGATAGTACTGTATAAGTTGCTATTCGCGGTTCTGCCTATTCACGCCATTCCTTGGAACCTAACCCCTGCGAGTAACAAAGGTTTACTGTATATATATTTTGGAAATGAATCTTCTTCATCAATTGAAATTTCAGAAAATTTCAAACAAGTTTTTAGAATTCCAACTCTAAATATTTTCTCTTCTCTCCCCAAAAACTTAGACAATAAAACACAGACTACAGCTAATAATCTGTTCTTGTATAAAATTTAGTTATTAATGGCCTTAATCTCTGGAAATTTTAGAAAAATTCTTGAATCACTCCCAATTCTTTTGCTTAAATAAAAAGACCCCTAATTTTCCTTAGCACCAAAAGGACCATATGCGCATGTCAAATACATATACGTATTGTACAGTACAAAAAATCTTCCAATGCATGTAGGATACAGTACAGGAGACAATAAAGAACTTACCCTTGGGTGAAGGGGCAGCAGTCTCAGGCAACTCCTCCTCCCCTGGCTGAAGGCCAAAACCTCTTAACACAGACAAGTCAAGGCTCTCAGGCATATCAATTGACACATCATATTTCATGGGAACCCAATCTTGACCAATACCAAATTTCACAAGCTGAAAGGCAAAAGATTTAAACAATTACTAATTATAAATATAGTACTGTGCAGTATTCTATCACATTAATCTATGCTTTAGTCACAACTTACTAGATAACAAAGAGCTAAAAACTGCTCGAGTTCAAGCATTTGACACAAGAAAGTATCTGTCCACACTCTGTGTGAAACATTAAGAGATAACGGATGATAGATATTGGGACTAGCATTTACTTTGGTATACAGTTTAACATAATGCAATGTGTATTTATTTCAGCGTAATTAATATGATGTTCGGTTACCAAATGTTGTAGGATCAGTATATCAACCCTCCCGGGACATCATGAGGGGTGCAAGTGGCATTTTGGAAGTCATCACACCCATTCCGGCAGATACTTTTCTGAGATACTGTACATAATTCACTCATTCAGTATACATTATCTGTGCTTTGTACTCTAACCTCTACAATAAAATCTAAAAATTTCTCTCTTCTTTCCTGTCTTATCTATTCACAGAGGTGTCCCCTTGCCAAAGACTGAACTTACCACAAGTTGAGTGTTTTGAACTGGCTAAAGTTATATGAGGTAGGAAAAATGTTTGGTGGCATAGTTTCATGATGCTAATCTGAATGCATCAGTAAGAAGCTCTACAATCATTCTAAACTCACATTGTTCAGTCATTCACGTTATAGTTATCTTCCACTACAAGGTTCTAAGATATACATTTCATTTGAATGCTAAATTTGAGCATCATTTAATGTCTCATTACATGTACTGTACATTACCAACCTGAATGACTAGGTAATCTGGAAAAGTACGAAGACGAGTAATCTTCTGCATGGCGACTTCTTTTTCTGCAGCAGAACTGTAAGCAACTATCTGCTCTGGTGATGCTAACTTTGACAAACAAACATCAAAAGGAATCTTTGCCCTCACTTGTTCCTCAGGCTGTCTGTGAAAAAAATAAATGACGAATCATTTCAGATCCCTGTCACAAATGCCTAAAAGCTCAGGATGGATTTCTAAAAAAAAAAACAGAAACACCTGTACATGGTATATGAAGAAAGAAAGAAAGAAAGAAAAGAAAAAAAAAAAAAAAAATGGTATATATGAGGTACAGCATGCCCTTCAAATCTTTGGTTTCAAAATGGCCACAAATAGCCAAATAATGACATTTGCTGACCAGGGGGGGGGGATATTTTTACTTGTGTGCAAAGAAATGTATATGCCCTTACCGTGAATAATAGAGGACCGCAAAATAAAAATCCGCGAATTATCCAGGCATGCTGTATATGACATAGTGCCTTCCATTAGAGGCTGGCCATCATACTTTTGATGTGTGCCTAACCTAATGATTTGTTAATCTCTCCCCATTGCAAATATTACCCTTAAAAAGATTGAACTAGAAGCAACAGCTGCCAGTGTAAATAGAGAGGTTCCTAGGCTTGGTGCAAGCTTTATAGCTAGAAGTTTTAGAATCAATCCTCCTCTTCAACATAGTGTAACAATGATCGTAACCTTCTTCGTTACTACATCTTTGTTATCTTGTACTTGAAAATTCCCCTTCCCTATAACAAGGCCTACCAAAGTCTAGCATATACTGTATACATTACCTCTGCCATTATTATGAGAGGTCTAGTAGGCCTAAATCATAGTCACACTACAGTTGTGTTTGTGAACAGATTATGTCTCCTCGCTGGTGCAAACACCAATCACCATATACTGTACTGTACTCAGTTAATATGAGGATGCACATACAGAAGCAAAAAACAAATAGTTGCCCTAAGCTGAATACTTCCTACTTTCTCCAGCTAACAAACTTGGTGGACCTGAATTATGTACAGTAACCTCAGGTCATTTCACAGCTACTTACCCATTTTCCTATAAAGTATATAGTGAGATTTTATTTCATTAGAGAGGCCAGGCTGGAAGTATTTAAATCAATCCTCATGTTGCCCGTGCCAATGCAACTACCCTGCACATGTATTTTTCCAGCTGGTCACCAGAGGGCAGTCATGGCATCACTCTTACTCTCGTAACTACCATGTGCACCCCTTACCAAGGTGTCTAAATGCTTAGCAGCTGTTTCTCCTTCCAGTTCATGAGAAAAAGAAGAGAAAGATATTTAATCAAGAATAGAAAGCTAAAATTTTAAAAGAACTTGACTATGAAGTAAGAATGTTGGTTGTTGCATGCTGAAACGGGGTATATGAGAGCATGATTCACAGCCTGACAAGGTTCATGCAGCTTATGTACTGCCACTCACATCCAAGACCATCCAGCATTTAAGATCACCCCTGTACCAAGAAATGGAGGACACCTTGAAGATTTATATAGCAAGCACACAACAATGTAAAGCTGTACGGAGTGTGCAATGACTCAGGCTAAGGTAAGAGAGGTTCAAGCTTGGATGCTGGAGAGAGCTAGTGACAGTAAGCCATGCCTTCACAACTTCAGTAAATGTATTGAGCTATGCTGCAAGACTCACTGGCTGGTTGCATCAGCTGACACAGCTGGGCTGGAAAAGTAAAGGAAGAAATGGCAACAATGATAGAGGAGGAGGATTACTCTTCAAACCTGAAACTGATTACACTAGAATATTTTGGAAAAGAATGCCAAAGAAAACCTTAATACTTGTTTATTTTTTGTAGATGTGTTGACAGCATCAGGCTTTGATGTACAGTATTGTGCTATTTTCATTTTTTTTTTCAATTTTCATCACTTTTGTACAACTTTCTTTATTTTTCTATAATGTACCAGAATACTGTACATTTCCTGCTTGTGTTTAGTAAGTAAATCAACTGTTTAAGCATTGCTTGGTGAAATTTTTGTTCTCCAGTCCCTGCCCCCTTAGTTGGTATTTAAGACCTGTACATATTATTTTCATACTGATATCATTGATTTTGTGAACATTCTTGGTCCAAATTTCATGAAATAACCCTAAGCTATTGTACACATGAATGGCCTAAAGTCAATAGGCCTACTGCATAATGCAGTGGAGGCATAAAAATTAAATTATGCAAAGGATACTTACATCACTTTCTGCGATGCTTGAGCATCTGTTTTTTGAGCTTGATAAGCTGCTACTTCTTCTTTGTTGACAGCTTCTTCCATAGGCACTGGTAGAGGCAAATATTGGTCTGGTCGTGTCACATAACGAACCTTTCCACTTGCACTACAAACAAACTTGTCCTCTACCTGTCAAACATACAAATGTCAACAAGTTACAATATAGTACCATACATGTTATACAGACACATCAAGTTCCACTTCTCTAGAGCTCAAAACAAAATGCCTAAAAATAAAATAAGTTTGATCTTTAACTTTCATACAAGCTTGTAAAAATATATCTTTTGTAGCCTTATCATCTACAACATCTAAAGAACTAAGTTTGTAGTTTATGCATGCTACAGTATATTACCAATGGACTCCTTGGCTAGTTTACTAATATTCCTTCTCTCTATTAATTTAATGGAATATGATAGAGTACAGGTAGTTCTGCTATAACGCGATAATTGTGTTCTTGTAAAATATAGTGTTATAGAAAATCGCGTTATAGAAATAACAGGGCTTATGGATAAAATAGGGTTAGGTGCAGATTACTCGAAATCGAAAAAATTTAGTAGTTAGCCTAACACAAAGGATAGCACAGTCTAAATAAATGTTACATTCATATCTAACAATGAAATCATACAGTAAATGTAACACTTTACTTGATGGGGGAGAAGGGTGATTTTGAGGTTGATAAAATCGAGCTTCTCTTCAAGTGTTATATCCTTTCTTTTACGATCATCACCGGGAATTCTATCACCAGAACGCTTCTTGTTGATATTCTTCTTTACTATATTCACATTATTTAAATTTTTTTTTTTCTAATTAATTGTTTTTTATTACAAATATTAATGATATTCTTTATTTCAGGGGTTTAGATGCATATTTATGCACTTTTTTACAATTTTTACAATTTTATATTATATTTTTCAGTGTTAAGTGGTTGTATTTGGGGGCCTGGAACGGATTAGTCCTATAACGAATGAATGCTATAACGAACAAGGTTCTAGAACCAATTAGATTCGTTATAGCATACCCCACTGTACCACAAAATTGGAGAAATAGTAAGCAAAAATCGCATTATAGCAAACAAGCGTTCGCGTTATACAAATATCGTTCCTAATTCACAAATCGTGTTAGAGCAAATTCGCGTTATCAAAACACGCGTTATAGCAGAACTCGCTGTACTTTGAACTACAGATTTACTCAACTATATTTCTAAGGTCTACTATTAACCAAATACAGTACAGTACCATCTACTCCTTACAAACAGAAGAGACCTTTCCCTATTATTATTGTTTTAGTATATAACTAATATTGTCATGATAATTTGACACCAAAACTATCATGTACAGGATCACACGAGGTTCATTTCTAGTCCCCTTTACTTAGTCAGCGTTAATTGCCTAAAATATAAGGTTGAAATAATATGTACTTTAAATATATAAGGTTTATATAAGGTGTACTTGAAAAATATAAGGTGTACTTTAAAAATATAAGGTTTATATAAGGTGTACTTTAAAAATATAAGGTTTATATAAGGTGTACTTTAAAAATATAAGGTTTATATAAGGTGTACAAAATATAAGGTTAAAAAAAGATGTATATTTGGTAAAAAAAAAAAAGTCTTGCAGGATGGGTCAAATTAAATTTGAATTGAACAGTCCTGTTTGTTGTCTTGCTAGGGTCAGTAGACATGATTTTTAGACATTTCCTACCTATAATGGTAGGCCTAATTTATTTATTTATTTTATTCAAAATATAAAATTACTTCGTTGAAATATGATTGGCGAATAACCATGTATTTCAGTAACAGTTAGCACTCGATTCATGACAATATTAGGGTGAGGCAATTTGCCTGAAACATGTTCAACAAGACGAAACGAGGTAAGTGGCTCTGACCAAGGTTCAGACATTGATAGTGCAGCAGCACTAAGCCTGCGCCTCGTTTCAACGTGCCGATCAGATGTTTCAAGCAAGTGTGGCTGCACTCTTAGACATGCAGGGCTACCACTACGAGGTATGCCTCATGGGCCTTACCAAAAACCTTCGTTTGGGGAGTCATTTGTTTCGCACAAGAATTGTAAAGAAAGATCTTTTACCAAGTGTACAAACCTTAAGGTTGAAATAAGATGCATAAAACCTTTCTAAAAACAGTGTTTTTCAGACATAGAGTTGAAGATGTCATTAGGCCTAGGTAATTGTGAAAATTGTGTATCAAAAGCCTGAGTGAAGGAGTACCTGTTTTACATCTCGTCTCGTACTATACTGTGGTCTGAGACAACAGGGTGTGCCCCTCCCCCCTCTCAACATGTACTGTAAGTATAAGGCTAACAAATTATCTCCATACTTACTGCATAATCCTACTAACATATCTGAGTGAAAAAAATAAATAAAATATGTGATAGAGAAAATCTAACCCCCCCACTCCATCAATCTAACCTCGAATTTAAAACAGCTTCCAGGATCAGCTGCCCCGGCAGAGTTGCATGCTGTCATCTTAATTATATGTTCCAAGAATTCCATTGAATCCTGCTGTTTCTTGGTTGAAAACTCGGCATGACCCTTTCCAACCAGGGTACGGAACATGAGCGGAGATATACCAGGCTGTAGGTCATCTGTGTCTAGGTTCTCATCTATTGTGTCTGGAGCCACAGCATATCTGTAAGTTGGGTAATACTTAAAAAAGGGTTCCTTCAGGGCAAGTTACAATGTTTCATAAAGGTTTTGAATTAAGTCACAGCTATATAGTAGACAGTTAATATGGAGAAACATTATTCAATTCCACAATCTTCATGCTATAATGTTCTGGTGATTATTTAAAAACTGAATTTCAAACTACCACATTTATAAATGATGAAAATAATTAAGCAAGCCTTTGACTGACAGCAGAAAAAGAAATTTTCATCCTGACCCAAATTTCTTGCTTGAAGGTTTACCTATAGTACAGTATACTGATTTGATTTAGAAAACAATATCCAGGTGGCCAGTGATGAGTGACCAGAAATATGAACATCCAGGCCCCTCAAGAGTTTTGCCAGGAAATTGGTGGTCGTCTGATGACTACAATAACTGTGTGAGGAGTTAGGACACCTTGTAGTTCATTCTTTCTACTGTGCAGGCCGGATTTGCATTGAAACACCCCTCACTTCTAATTATATCCCAGACAATTGGGTAGTATCCAGGTCACTCCTCACTGGTTCAGTTACAACGTGAGGTCAAACCCTCACATATATTGTGATGACAGTTTAGTGTCCAGGAATCAGAAGCCAGCTATCAAAAGAAGTTCAGGTTTCTCTAAAAGGTCTGTGAACAGAAATAAGCCAGTAGGCATCATCCAGGTCAATAATTGGCCACACGTAGCTGACTCATGGTTCTTTCATGGAGAGGGAACCCCCTCTCCCTTGTGATGACTGCCTGGTCCCATTGACTGTTCGACACCTCCTGGTGGAGTGCACCCAGTCTTAGAGATCTTTGTTGTAGGCACCTCTCTGAGTACCAAGGGATATGTGTGTGTGTGCGTGTCTTACCATCTTTCTTTGATGCACATGCAGGGGAGCTGGCCTCCTACACAAGCTTTGAGTTTTATCTATTAACATTTAAATGTTTTTTATGAAAGTTCTGTGCTATTTAGTATTTATGTTTTCTTCCTTGCATTATTTGTTGTTAGCCTTCTAATTATTTAGTTTAATTCGGCGGCATATAACCTAGGCAGTTGCGTCACCAGGAATGTAATTACATTACCACACTCAATCCATCCAGGTCAATAAAAATTGCTAAAATACCCCTGTGTAGGCTCCATCTCATCTGTTGATTAGCAGATATCCTAAACTTTACATTGTGAAAATCTTGACATGAACAGATGCATTATTAATGAATCACTTCATTACACAACAATTCAGCCACACATTCCCTTACGATGCCAGAGTCTTTCTGGTTTCTAGTTCAAACTGGGTCTTAAGGAGCCCTTTAATTTTTTTATTGTAATCCTTTATTAAAATTTTTTGAGTACTTCGAATCATTGCCCAAAATCTTTTAAACTAGGACAGATGGCATCCCATTGTAACACGTTTTATGACAAAGTCAAAGGAGAAACAGTGAACTGTGCAGCACCATGACTCCCAATACTCTCTTGTTTAGGTCAAACTATTACCTCTGATCTCTCACCTTGAGCAATGGTCATCACAGGGCAGTGAGAGATCTTGGATTACCACCAGTTGCCATGACTCGGGGCTCTACTGGGTAAAACCATGAAAGGCTAGATGTTCATTTTCTTGGGTGGGTCTCTTACCCAGTGTCATGTTATATATACTCGTACATTCTTTTACTGAAAGTAAGAAGGTACCACCATGGTTGCTGCACTGTATATACTGAATGTTAATTCTTACCTTCCTGACAGCAAGCCATGAGCAAGTTTACTCATTTGAACATTAAAGTCTTCTGCAGGGTTAGATCCTCTGTAGCTCTCCCTGATGGTTTGTCCAAGATGATAAAACCTTTCCACGAAGCCCGGAACAGTAAAGAGTACTTGCATTACTGAGTTGACGTAACACGAGTTACCAAGATTTCTCATCCCTATAATGTATCAAATGAATAAAGATTATTAGTAATAAGTAATACAATATCTCTATTAGCCAGAAACCCTCTCAACCGGAATTGAAATGTCCTTGAAAAGTTGTTCCCAAAGTCAGAATTTTCTGGAAAATTTCAGCTTTGGGAAAGATTTTCCAAGGGGCACATTTTCAGGAAAATTCCATGAAAAATTTCCCAGTGCCCGGAAAATTCCGGGGATGGAGGACATTTTACCGGGTTCGAGAGATGATGTAATGTGCAATTTCTGGAACTTCCGATAAAATATTTTGGCCACCCGGAAAATTCCGGGGATGAGGGATATTTTTTCCGGCTTTGAGATTGTCGTTTTGTTACACGGAAATCTCTCATTCCCAAAAGTGCTCAGCACCAACTGTTCCAGCTAACGGAGATATCACTTTATATATATACATATACGAGTACAGTAGAACCTTGATAAATTGGACTAATTGGGGCAGACCCCAGTCCGAAAAAAGTGAATATAGAGGGGTTGGGGGTTTGGAGACAACACTGCTTATCTGAACTGTTTAAAGAAAATCAGTATGTTATTACTGCACTTCAACAACTAAGGTCTTTACGTGTAAAACAAGGTTATTAAAAGAATATTACATCAACAATAACAAAAATATGAAACAGAACTCTCTGGGTTGAAAATGAGACATACCGGTAAGTCTGGTTGTTGTCGACGACTGTTTTCAGAGATGATTGTTATTTACTGTAAAGTGTTATATGTAAGTAACCATAGAATTTGTCTTATGGGTAAAGGGAAAACTGTATACTGTACTATAAAGATAAAAACCAAAAACAAATAAGTGTGGGAGTATATTGTGTGTGGAAGAGGAGTGTTTATTTGGGACCAGCTGGCAGAGGGGAGGGGAATGCAAGGGTGGGTGGCTCCCCCCCCCCCCCCCCCCCCTCACAAGATTCCTTAACACTTCTTTATGCAATTTCACCATAATTCTCATATAATTTAGGATCATTTGGCACCAGGTTGATAAAATATTATCCTAAAAGAATGTTTCCAAAAAAAACAAAAAAAACACTGCACACACTGAGTCATTTGTTTACAAAGGGCAAAAAAGCTGATCGACTTTCCACAAAGTCTGTCTTCAACACTTAGTAAATTAGTACGGTACAATCGTGTATTTATCATCACTTAATAAATACTATTGCAGTGTATTTATAACTACTTAATAAATACTATTGTAGTGTATTTATTATCACTTAATAAGTAATATTGTAGTGTACAGTATTGTCTGTCTGCATATACCCTGGTTTATTCATTAATCAATTAAGTGAACAAGTAGCCAAACTGAGTCATCATATAACACTCAAAGGTGGTAAATACTTTACAGTGTGTTATAGTGACCCCTGTTGTAAACTAGTCTGCTGAAAGCTCTTGCACAAATGCATCTTGAGTACATAACTTTCTGATACAGCTTATCCTTTTATTTTCAAGTCATATTATAAATTACATACAGTATTGTATTTTTTCTCTGTTACTGAAGATGTTATATTAATCATGATGAACCATAAACCAAAAGAGGCAAATCATATGAGATTATAATACCGATACTGAATCAATAAATAAATAAACCCGATCAGCCCCCCCCTGCTTACTTACTCAGTGTCTTAGTTCTCAGTAGGCCTATAGCAAATCTGATTAGATCACTGTACAGTATTCAGTAAGTGTTGTTCATTCCAAAAGATATTTTTAACAATTTTCCCTATTTCTTAAAACAAAATATTTTTTTTTCTGGTGACCAGAGCATCTCAGAGTCCGAAAAAAGCGAATTCCGATGAGCTGAAGTTTCGATTTATCGAGGTTTTACTGTAATATATAATAAATTTTACATACATTATATAATATCAACACCATCAATGCAAACATCCTTATCAATACGATTTGGAAACAATAAAGGCATACAAATACCTAAGGTAAGGTAAATTATGAAACTATGGCTGTCTTTGTGAGACACATATGCCCTACTGATGCAAAACTGTGTGAGATGGATGTTCTTCTACTGGATGTGTGAGCCAGAAGGAACATTGTTTGTATGACAGCAAATTCCAACTCCTCCTTCATGAAGGTCTCTGAAGAGTTCAACAACTGGTGCCTTCCTAGTTACCTCAAGAATACTTAATAAAAAAGGATTGGAACCAATCCATCAACACCCTTTTGGAGAGAGTAATACACAGATAACTCTTGGCCTATACGGATTCACAATGCTTATAGTCAATTAACTGTACTCTACGTATATACAGAAACTACAATAAATCCATCCACCTTAAAAGCAGCTTGGGTGTAGCAAAGTGAGTCATCCATGAAGCAGAATGTCCCTTTCTTCCATACAATATCAACTCTTAAGAATCTCAAGGTAAATTAAACAGTTTTTACCATCCGCATTACAGTGAATCACCTATAGTCTACACTACTCAAACTGCAAAAAATATGTGACTCGCACAACCATAATATCATCATGCTGTATCAATGGTTTATACATCAAAACTGCCAATGTATTATATTACCTGCGAATCCTGGCCCAAACTTTGGCACTAGCTTGGTTCCCGATTCTGTGAGTCGAGACCATTCCCACGCTCGCTGGTTATAATCAATTTCTAACTCAAGCATCGTCTTCTCGGTTTTCTCCATCACTTTAACGTTGATGCCAAAATGCTGGAAAGATTTGAGACAAATTTAAAATATAATTAAGGTAAAAATGACTTTTCTAAAATAATTATGTTTTTTAAGTAAATACCACTTTATAATTACAGTCGACCCTCGTTAATTCGGACCCCTTTAATCCGGATTTCGGATAATTCGGACAAAATCTGAACAAACCTTTTTTTCTTTTTCTTTTTTTAAATTTGTAGGAATATTACCTACGCGGACCTTAAGCTAAAATGCTGGTCCACCCACTGCTGGGATAAAACACCAGTGTCTTTTTGGTTAAATGTAACATCTCCACCACTAGTGTTGGGGGGGGAGGGAGATGCAACTTTTAGCTTCAGACATGAAAAATATTAACCATTTACTGCCAGTAAACAATGGAAATGTAAAATATGTACCAATTAGTAATGAAAAGTTGTGCAGTTCCTTCAGCAAATGAAGCTCACCAACTTACAATAGGTTAAATTACCTTACAACGTGTTTTCAGTAGTCTATGTTGAAGTTCTTAGCACAGGCTAACTTATCATATCATATACGGTATAACAGTTCTCATTGATCTACAAAAAATACAGGTAATAAAAACCTTTTTGATATTTCACACTTAATATAATACCCGGTACAGGTAATCTACTTCAACCTCCTATTGTTTACAACGACGCATGACGCACCACCAGCTGTTGAGTATCAGCTACACGGCACAAGTGTTTTTCGAATCGTTTTCAGTTAAAAAACTGTTACATCACATGTATATTTTACCTTAACTGTGCCTGAATGAATATATTCTCGGAAATAAATAGTAGTTTTGCTGAAACGTAATGTATTATTCTCGGAAATAAATAGTAGTTTTGCTGAAACGTGATGTATTTTAATGTAAAATAGGATAAAATACATGACAAAAACAAAAGATTTTACCTTACCTTCCGATGTTCAAGAGAAGTTACTCGTTTTTTTTAATAGTTTTTGGTTAAAATACTGTTATATTACAATGGTATTCTATTCATACTGTGCTTGATATAATGCATTCACGGAAATGTAATATTTTTGCTGAAATGACGTACGTATTACAGTGGAAAGTGGGATAAAATCGTGACGAAAACAATGACTTTGAAATATAATGCAATATTAACCCCCAAATCGGTTAATTCGGACAATCGGCTAAAACGGACACCCTTCCCCCCTATCAGTCCGAATTAACGAGGGTCGACTGTACCTTTGAATGATATGGTGATTGAAAAAGATGGATTGAGTTTTCAAAATTATCAACAAGAATTTGTCTTACTAAATCACAGCAATTTGTTCATTTTTTCTACATATAATGGACAGTACTTACAGCCAAATGCTTCACAAGGTTAGGGTCTAACACCATGTCATCTTCATCATAGCTGTACACATCAGCATTTCCATCTTGTGTAATAGTGCCAAGCTTCACTGACAATGGGTACTCTGAAACAATAGGCAAGACAATTAATTTACAAGAGAGTGGTTGGAAAATCTAACCCACATCAACAGAATATTTTCAATGAAATCCTTCAAGAAAAACTTCAACACAAGACGTTGCCCTTTTTAAATGACAATGAAGCTCGATTCACACTAGCCCGTTTTGACGGCCATCTTTGATGCAGTACAGCCATCGACGACGTAAATGGTGGTACATTCAGACAGGAGTTAAAATGTAAACAAACATGGATGATAGCCTTTGCTATGCCTTCTTCACAGCTACACACGGGGGCCCCAGCAAGAGGCAACTTCATGTTAAATTTCTACCTTATTTACCTCATGGCCACCCACTTCAGGTGGTCATGCTGAGGAAAAGAGGCCAGTGGCCTGTGTTGGATCCCTCCATTGATCTCGATAATTTTGTTTAGGGTTATTTTGAACTTGAAGCCCAGTTCTGTTCTTGATCCCACAGCTTGAGCCTGCTTCATTTTATTTGTTCATATACAGTACTGTAATGTACTTAGTTATTCATTAAGGTTAGGTTGGGTTAAAAATCATTTCCAAAGAAAAAGATCATCACCTTTGGAAAGAGGAGCAAATCAAACTCCAGAAAATATGTCTTCTGTGCAGAGTTGCCATGAACTCAAAATCTGTATACAGTACTGTACTGGATTATCATTGCATTGAATCTTTCCATTTCCAATATGAATGTTTACTATGCATATATTTTAAGTGATGATATTAGCTAAGCTGAATTTCATTATTATTTGACAAAAATTTAATATGAATCTTCGATTAATTTCAACAGCATACAGATGGGCACCAACACTTTCCACCTGAACGGCTGAGATGAAATTAGTTTATCCTTCCCACATCAATGGGCAGTGGACGTGCCCTAATTCACACATGACATCTGCCAAACAGGCCGGTATGAAGTCACTGCTTTGTGACATCAAAGAGGGCTAGTGTGAATCAGACTTAACTATCTGGTGAGTGTAACTAGATATCCAGGATTTTGATCTGATATCTTACTGGAAACCACTGAACTGTAAAGTACTATATTTTCCACAAATTACTGCACACAAATATAACCTTTGACAAAATATTCCCACATAAGATATCAAGGTAATAAAAGATGATGATTCATTTCATCAATAAGTGCAAAAATTAATGATCAAATTATGATCATGTAAGTGAGCTGATTGTTACCTGCCCAGACTAACAGTTATGTAGTAAGGCTCCACTAATTATTTTTTCAATTAACCTTTAAAAGGAAAATAATATGAAAAGACTCATTTGAGACAAGTTTTCTTCCTTTGTTTAAGTCATGATTATAGTAGCCAAACATATCCCCCAGCCATCAAGCAAACACTATTGGCTAACTTACCCAAAACAGCATAAAATCATGCCAAAGATTAAAGATTCCTATTCCCTTGTACCTGAGAATTTCAACAACACTAAAAATCCTAATTAAAACTTGAGACTTTACTAAAAACAATTAAAGTTAATTTATCTCCTGGACACCTGTGAAACTCACTTGTCTTCTCAAAATGCTCAACAGCATGATTATTGCCACCTGAGCCATCCAGTTGTCTTCGTCCACACAGAATCTTTCCATCAGTAAGATTTAACCACAAATTATCAGTTTTATCACAATGTTCACACTTCCAGCCATTTGGAGGAACCTGAAAATTGTGAAAATGGTGCATTTAACTAAAGTACAAAACTTTAAATACTGTACAGGTATGTTAAAAAAACTAAGTTTAACCCCTGCTAAAATTATCCACAGCTATGATTATGTAATGAGTAAGGTTTTAAAAGTACCAGATACAAATAATTTTGTATTGCTGAACAAAACTGCAAATAAAAGTAGAAAACATGACACTTTAACTACAAGGCCAAATTTGAAAAACACAAGCTTTGATCAGTCATTCAGACTCATTCTACATGCTTAAAGGCAAAAACTATTCTACTTTTACAGGTGAAAGTTTAAAGGAATTCATTTAAGTACAATCGTGTCGCATCTTATGCGCATTTAACTTATATGCATTCAAATTTATGCACTTGGCTTAGAGGAAAAAAAAAGACAGTGAGTGTAGAGCATATGGCTGGGGGAGACACTTCACCTGCACCTCTCTAGGCCTCAGCTGCTGCGTGTACTGAACAGGGGAGGGGGTTTAGGTTGAGTGCCTCTGACGACTGACCATTAGCAACAGTTGCTAAGGGTCGTTTGGCAGAGATAGCACATCTCAGCTGAGCTGCGATGTAGGGTGTGCACTATCTTTATAATTTTAGTTTTTTTGTGCTTTCATTATTTTTCCGAAATATTCTTTGCTGAAATCAACTTGACAATCAGTGGCAAAGAGGATAGAGTAAACTTATAGCAGTGCACATTTAAACTGTAAAAGGCCTAACCAGCCGAGTCACCAGATGCGCTATTGACAAACTGCCCACTGCTTCCACACCTACGATCACCTCCAACACAGAACACACATCCATGCTCTTCATATTTCTTATTTTATTGTTTTATATTATATTTTCTTTATTCCAAGTCACAATAGAATACAGGGGGTCCCCGGGTTACAAGCAGGTTCTGTTCCTCAGGACGTTCTTAAGTTCGAGCACATGCTATGTGCATATCATACTTTTTTTTTCGGGGATAAGCCCACCCGGGCACAGGTTACTGACCCACATCAGGGCCTGGGGGGCGAAAATATAATTATAATAATAATAATAATAATAATAATAATAATAATAATAATAATAATAATAATAATAATAACTATTATTATTATAATAATAATTAATAAATATTAATAACAAAATACTAAAAAAAAAAAATCTTAAACAATCATAATCATAAATAAATACAAAATCGAAAAAATAAATCAAGAATGAGAAATGATAAACATTATATATGTTGTATTGTCAAAGTAAGAGAAACAATTGAAACCCTGCAATTGTGTGTAAATGAAGCAGAAAGTCAGATCAGCAAACTGGGACTTGGTCACAATTTTCGTGATGCCATATGGCAGCAGGGTCTATCATTAGACAACACATTATGCTTCCAATATCTTCCCAGGTGGTAGTACCTCCCTGTTTGATAGCTGCCTATACCTACTTACAGAACAATGATTAAAATCTCACTGAATCATAGCCTAAGTCCTTATATACATCTAAAATAACTTAATTTAAGAGAAAAGAAGAAACAGAATGACAAAATACAGTAAATGAAAGAAAAAATATGTCATTGGGTAAATAAAATACAGTAAATTTAGAGCTTAACCTCGTTCGTATCAGTGGACGTTCATAAGTCAGGGACCCCCTGTATTGAAGTGAATTTTCCACAACTTTTATTTTCATTATATGTAACAATGGCAAAATGCATTACCATGATCTCTCACAGATTCACAGGCCACAGCAGACTGGCATGTCAGCAAGCTGACTCCTGGTGCAGCTCTCAGAAAAATGGATTTCTTTAACAATTACTCTATATAAATGATGTGGCTTAGAAACAAAGAAAATATAATGTAAAACTATAAAAAAAAAGTGAAAAGCATGAGAGGGAGGGAGGGAGGGAGGGTGTGTCAACTTGGCTCCCCTGAACCCGTTAATACATGATCTGAACAATTGGAAACAGAGGCTCAGAGCCTAACCATAAACAGAAGCAGTGACAAGCTATACTGGACAGTGGTAACTTGGCTGCCTTATAATCAGCCCTGTAAGAAATCTTATTATCATCACTTTCACCAGCGTATAATAGTTCACATCCATGTAATGTCACTCTCAATTTCGACGATTCGCGGTAAGCAGATTGTGGCTAGCATGCGAGCCTTTTCCCACAGTGCAACGAGTCACCCGCCGCAGCATCTCCTCTCCCTCTGTTCACGCTCAAGCATTGATGCAGCATCTCGTGTTGTACTCTCAAAACTTTAGTGTTTCTGTGTGAAATGGCCCCTAAAACACTGCCTAGTGTCAGTGCTAGTGATGCTAGTGGAGTGAAATGTAAAAGGCAGAAGTCAGTGATGACCCTGACAAAGAAAATTGAATTATTAAACAAGTTAAAGAAAGGATGAGTGCTGCCGCGGCTGGTCAGTTGTTTGGTATAGGTATACAGTGGTGCACTAAGGTAGTAGAAGTTGCTATTTGCGCCATTCCTTGGAACCTAACCGCCGCAAATAACAAGTGTTTACTGTATTGAACAGTCACTGGGACATATCACATCCCTGTCTAACACCCACATAAATGTCAAATGCTTCACTTTCTTTCCCCTTTACTGTAGTCATGCTGTTCTCATAGAATGCTTTTACTGCATTTAATAGCCTTCCTCCTTTTCGCTCCTATCATACGCCTTTTCCAAATCTACTATAAATCCTTAAAACCATCTGCAAGTAATAAAAATCAACAATAACGTATTAAAACTAAGAAAAAGGAATAGATTAAATTTTGTTATATATTCTTTTGGTTTAAAACATTGGTTTAAATCGGCAAACCCTGTTCCACACACGTACTCGTACATGTTCAGCACCAACACATACACACCTATGCTCTTCACTTTTCTTATTTATAGTTTTATATTATATTTTCTTTATTTCTAAGCCATATTAGAGTACAGTATTGTAATTTTTACTCTTTTGCTCATTATTAAAGAAAACGGTTTTACTAGGGTAGACTATAATATCCTGAGTGATATAACTTACGTTTTTATTACATACAGTATTCAGACTTGAATCATACGGAGAGAAAACACCATCTCTGAAACATTAATCTTTTCTAAATCAAAATATTAAGACAAAAATCATAAACTTGTTAGCCATGGTACCATACCCTATTTTTTCCATCAGGTATTAACCCTTAAAGGTCTGACGTTGTCCCAGAGCGCCCGGCGTAGTAGAGGTCTGATGTCGTCAATCTAGCACTTAATTTTTTTTATTTTCCTGCATGAGTAGCGTGACTATTATTATGGCAACAGCTTATCCCCGCTCACCCACACTTATCCTTGACTGTATCTTAAGCACATAACCAGTATAACAGTTGTCACCATGGAGGAAGGTCGCACGTCTACCTCTCTAGATTACCCACTTAGAACTCTAGCTCCCAAGCCATGCCACTCCAAGCTACAGAGTGGTGAATGAAATGTATATACCAGGTAGTGTAATAATAAGGAACCATGTGAAGGTGTTGTGAAGTTGTAAGAACATGGAGTGAGTTGGTAGTGCACCACCGTTCACTCCCAGATGTGTGATAACTGCTAGAGGGGTGCTGAGGTACGATGTCTCGCCGACTTCTCCACCTCGCCAATATCCATAGGTGGCGAGTACTGTACAGTAAAAATTATGTTATTTCCTATTGACTAACATGTACAGTACTTTATGTCTAACATTTCATAAGACTAGAACATTCAATTTATGATTTTCATTTTTTGGCCTACAATTCAGTTTCTGAAGGGAGACTTCCCAAGATTTGTCAGACCTTTAAGGGTTAATCAAGTACAGTAATTGCAAATTCACGATACGCGACGATTTCCAAGAATATAACCCTCGTGAATATGGGGAATAAGTGTGCATAAACCTACAAAAAAGTATTAGAAAATGAATAAAACGTCACTTGCAAACATACCTTAATCCCATTATCAAGCTGTTTGAGAGTGTCTGCATGTTTGGTGACCTGCCGAACCTCCCCATCCCAGGCACCAGCTGCAGCTTCAACTTCAGCTAAGTGAAGTGCAGACTCTGCTTTTAAAATGCCTGCTACACTTTGCTGTGCCTGTAGAGCAGTGATATACAAGACATTAACACTCACAAGGCACAAATTGTCATACTGTTGCATATTATCTAAAATTCATCATCATCACAGGATCAAAATGGCATACAGTACTAATCATGCTTCATCAATAATATGTTAATAACAAAAATGGCTGAGGTAAAAAAATCTTTATTTTTACACCTGAGGGGAAGAGATTGGACCCTTGGGAGGTTCCTCCAATAGAATACTGTTTTGTCCAGGGGGCCATCTGTGTTCTAGAGGCAAGACCACTACCCTGGTAGATCAGTGTAACTTGTTGCCTAAACAGATACTCACCTAGTGAATCAGGGTTATCAAGAGGGAACATCAACCCAATCTGTTTATTGGCTTGCTGCCCACAAATGATTGTGAAGTATGAAAAAGTTGATCATGCATATATAGTACAGTGGTCCCTCGGTTAATGAACACAATTCGTTCCAGAAGGTTGTTTGTTAACCGAAAATTTCGTTAACCAAATCCATTGTTTCAATGGGTTATTGGGTAATTGGTTCCAGCTCAACGAAAAGTACATACAGTGGGGTATGCTATAACGAACGTAATTGGTTCCAGAACCTCGTTCGTTATAGCATTCGTTCGTTATAGGATTAATCCGTTCCAGGCCCCCAAATACAACCACTTAACACTGAAAAAATTATGTGGAAAATGTAAAAAATACGGTACTTTATCTTACCTTAGTGTTATTCAGCATGCAGGTACCCCTAAACACTGGCACATCACTATCACTTCCACTGGGAGTCTTGGCTTTAAGGTCCTCAAACAATTGTTTAGCCTTCTCACAAATTATAGCTTCACTAATGTTACCACCTGCCATTTCTTTCTCCTTTATCCACACTAAGAGTAAATTTTCCATCTCTTCAATCACATTACACTTTGCTTTGCTAAGTCTAAAGATTCCCTTAGCCACTTGCACAGTTTTTAACTCCTCTTTATTCTTCAAAATCGTACATATAGTCGATTTAGCCATCCCATATTCATCACTAAGTTTCGCAATGCTTCTTCCATTCTCACGTTTCTTTATAATTTCTTTCTTAGTTTCAAGGGTTATTAGCTTTCTCACTCGCTTTGGACGACTCATTGTTACAATTGTATACTTGTATAACAAAATAGTTATACAAATAACGCGAATTTCCACATCAAAAGACGAAATTTCAACAATAAGTGGTGCACTGGCTACACAATGAGACAAAGATGGCGCCTGACGCTCTTGTTGTGGGTCGCGGTACAACAATATTCATGCGCCAGGCGAAATAGTCCCGTATTCATCCGCGTTCGTTGTAGGAGTTGCGTTCGTTATAGCATTCTCAATTTTATAGGTAAAACCGTTCGTTATAGGAATATTCGTAGTAGGATCCGTTCGTTATAGCATACCCCACTGTACAAAGTAAAAAAAAATGCAGTAAAGTGCACTTTCTTTGAGATGTGTATATAGAAGGCTCCTGGTTGATGATGATAATGGGAATTAAAAGTGGGGGTGGAGGAGAAGGGAGAAGAGAAGGAAGTGGGGATGGAGGAGATATCACCTTTCAGGGAACCCATGCTTGATACCTCATTTCACCAATAAAATTTTAAGTTCACAAGGTGTAATTCAAAGATTATTTTCTTTAAATCAACACTGCACTATATCTTATCAATATGTTAAATAAATTTCAGAATGACCAATAATTGTACTATAAAAACATAAAAATACTCTGTGTTCAAGAGATCCAAAGGTGTTTCCTCCACTGAACAGACACAAACAGACGCCTTGGTGGGTGAGTGAAATGGCTGATGGGCGCACCAAAAACTAGTTCCCTGTACTGTAATTATGTTAAATAAGTGTTAAAATGACTACCAGGTAATAATTTTAATATAAAACTTGGAAAAATATTGAATAGCACAACCTTCTTGATATTTACTCCAACGGAAATGAATGTAAGCCCTAGAACCGATTACTGTATTGGCGGACTAATCTACCAGCCGAAGAGCAAGCCAAAACATGTTGACATGTTTTCGTAAGAATTTCGTTAATAAAATGTTTGTTCATTAACTGAATTGAAGATTCTTATGGAAAGTAATTCGTTAACCGAGGGACCACTGCATTCTTTTGTTTTTTATTTATTATTATACAGTACAGGTAGTTCTGCTATAACGCGATAATTGTGTTCTTGTAAAATATCGTGTTACAGAAAATCGCATAATAGAAATAACAGGGCTTAGGGAAAAAATATGGTTAGGTGCAGATTACTCGAAATCGAAAAAATTTAGTAGTTAGCCTAACACAAAGGATAGCACAGTCTAAATAAATGTTACATTCATATCTAACAATGAAATCATACAGTAAATGTAACACTTTACCTTGAAAAAATATGAATGTAACTTGATGGGGGAGAAGGGTGATTTTGAGGTTGATAACATCGAGCTTCTCTTCAAGTGTTATATCCTTTCTTTTACGATCATCACCGGGAATTCTATCACCAGAACGCTTCTTGGAGATATTCTTCTTTACCATATTCACAATTAATACCACAAAATTGGAGAAATAGTAAGCAAAAATCGAGTTATAGCAAACAAGCGTTCGTGTTATACAAATATCGTTCCTAATTCATAAATGGCGTTAGAGCAAATTCGCGTTATCAAAACACGTGTTATAGCAGAACTCACTGTATACTGTACAGTACAGTACTGTACAGGTATTTAGTTTATATTTAATGTTTTGTTAATTCTATTACCGGTATACTATAGTACTTGTACTTTGTATGTACTGTTTCTGTGAGTTGGAACCAATTAGCCAATATCCCATTGAAATAATGGATTCAGTTAACAAATGACTCTGTGGAACCAATGTGTTCATTAATCGAGGGACCACTGTATACGTATACAGCTCCTCCCCGACTTACGACGAGGTTAGGGACCCAAATCTAGGCCGTAATTCGAAAATGCTTAACCCTTAGGCCCCGGGTGACGTTCCAGAACATCCGACTATTTTCCCGCCATTTTTTAATTAATTTTGGAAATGTTGATTTTTTTATTATTTAACCTCGTGTGGGGGGTACTGCCAGCAGCACCCTAACCCAGGGCTTAAGGGTTAAAAATACATAGAAAATCTAAAATGGGTGTCTCTTTTTCTTCTCAACACCACAAAACTCTCACTTTTAAGCTTGCCAGCCATTTTAAAGTGAATTACAAACGATAATTTTGTCTGTGTACTGACGTTGGGACTCGAAAAAGATTTGTGGTTGTAAACTGAAAATATCTTAAGGTGGACGTGCTAATACAATATTAACATTACTTTAGGGTTTAGTTGGGTATAAATTTTGGTGGGTTGGCCAGCAGATAAATACCTAAACAGTAATGTGACCCATGACTGAGGAAAGGTTGCCTATATGCCTGTGCTGCACCAAGGTCTGACACTTTAAAGAAAACTTACAATTTCTGGGAGGTCTGGATTAGGTAATGGTATGATATCAAAATCTGGCAGGATCACCAGAGAGTTGTGCTCCTCGTACTCATACCGCTTCTTGCTTGCATCAGGGTTGAACCCACCTTCTACACCGATTGCTAGGCGTGCAATCTTTTTCTCTGGCTCCATTTCTTTCTCAGGTGGAAGCTAAAAAAATATAATACCAAATTAATATGTAAAAGATAACTCCAACTTTCATTATGTGTATGTTTATACCTGAATAAATACAATGACTAGTTAAAATCAACGTACTACTCCAGATGCAATGCTTGTAGCTATTCCTTTCTCTTATACCAGAATACAAATACCAGGTACCATTCCTTGGAAAAAAGATAATACCGTACTGTATATATTAATACATAGCCCAACCCCATAAGTTTACTCTATTGTTAGCCTCTGGCCTTTAAGGGCATTTCCCATTTCTACAATATTGTTTCAGGATTCAAAGTTATAATGGGATGGTTCTGTCAATATGATGATAGTTCCAACTGCTTTTCTTTTGGCTTAATCTGGGCTTTAATATAACCTAACCAAGCTGTATAACAGGCCATCCAGGAGGGCTGTACAGCTATGAAATATGCATACAGTAGCTGTAGTGTACACTACAATACTGTGTATATACTGCACATACATAATGTACTGTATACTGTATAATAGTGCACACTACAATACATAGTCATATAAAAGATGATTACTGTATTGAATATTACTGGCGTTTGAATATAAACATGGAAGAGCCATTGGCAAGGTGCCATTAAATCAGATATCATTAAGACTCTTTGGATGAAACAAAATATCATAAAGGATTCATAGAGGATTAAATTAAACTACATGTCATACAAGTACAGTACAGGCAGTCCCTGGGCTACGAACGAGTTCCATTCCTGAGAAAGTTCTTCGGTCGAAAATGTAAGTAAGTCGAAACACATGTTATGTGCATACCATACTTACAGAACAATGTTTAAAATCCCATTACATCATAGCCAAGTTTACTTATATACAGTACATCTAAAATCACTTAATTTAAGAGAAAAGAAGAAATAAAATAACCAAATACAGGAAATTAAAGTAAAAAAAAAGTCATCACGTAAGTAAAATACTGTAAATTAAATATTTAACCGCGTTCATATCGGCGGATGTTAGTAAGTTGGACGTTGGTAACCCAGGAACTGCCTGTACAGTACAGTGTACAGGTGAGCAAACACTAACCATTTTATTAACCCTAAGAGTTCTGCAGTATTAAAGACAACAAGCACGATACAGCACAGTACATACTTCCTTTTTGTTCCGTCTGAGGTGCAAGAAGACACAGTTCCCCGACTTTTGTGAGTATTTTGTAACATGTTCTTTGCTCCAGCCATGAAAGGTGTTCAGACAAACATATAATCCAGTCTCACTTTCCTGTTGAGAAATAATCTATATAAGAAAAATCCTATTAAAATGATAGTTAGCATACGTGAGAACATTTTATGTTATTTAATTTACTTTTCTTTTTTGTCAGTATTAAGAAAACATATCACGCTTAACTACATCAGAAGGCAGCAAAGATGAACCACTGAGCACTAGTACAACTGTTCATTCCTACCAACATGAGCCAAAGTCTAGCGTTGAGTTAGTTATTATTCCCCAACATGTGTTAAGTGTGGGGGTTCAGGGTGAGTTTTAAACCTGATCTACAACTAATACTCCTTCCACAACGTCTTTTAGCAGATATTCTGAACATGCAACACCCATGGTCAACGTCCACAAGTATTAACCAAACTCCGCCTCCCAGGGCCACATAGGAGATAATACTGCCTCTGTTATTTTAGGTTATATAGAGTATACAGGTGCTCCTCTACCTACGAACGAGTTACGTTCCTGAGGCTTGTTTGTAAGTCCAACTTTACTCTTGTAGATACCAAACATATTGTAAAAAAAAGAAAATATTATTGACATTTAGTACAAGTACAGCTATATCCTTTAATACAGCCTTAAAATCTGGCTCACTCTTCTCCTCTTAGGCAATGTTTATTCTATCTGGAATTTTCTTCAAAATAATCCAGTCTCATCTACATTAAACACCTGTTCTGGCAGGTAACCCCCCTCAGTGACGGTGTTTTGTATCTCTGAAAGTTTGCAAGGTGAATGTTCTTAAGTAGAGGAGCACCTGTATATAAATATATATAGTGTACAAGTATATATAAAAATATTTATAGGTTAATATTCATCCATTGGCTGTCTGCAGGTTTCCAATCTTCAATATTACAGACACAAAGGCTATAAAAAACAAACATAAAACTTCATATCAATTCTTGTACAAATCAATATTAATGGAGTATCTCGCAATTTTTTAGGTGTAACTTTCTGTACCCGCCATGTTGCCATTGACTTTTCTCGTCCTCTCCTCCTCCTCTTTGCGACATGACAACCAATGATCTTCAAGTATCGTGTCATGTGACTTGGCTGGCCAATCATTTTGAAGCAGCCATTTTGAAAGCTCGTGATGGCATGCAAAAAGTGCTCTTTCCCTTATCTAGCTGTTAATCAGAGAGTTTATCAGAAAAATAGTGAAGCAATCCAAATATTACAAGATCACAGTGTCCTACTAACATCAAGATAGTGTCCTACTTGTAGAAATGGTTTACTTTTAAGAAAAGACAGAATTTTTTTTGTCTGTAACCATAAGCGAACCAGATCACCCAGCTGTACCCTCCACCACAGTAGCAGCTCCAAAAAATGGTTAGGTTTGGTTAGGTTAGTTTTCTTTTTTTTGTGTGTTTTATGGTGTGTTTTACTCATACTTAACTGCCATTTTGGTGCAACTTAGCAGTTTCAGTTACAAAGGAGTTTTTTGGGGGGAGGGGAGGTTTAAGCCTTTACTTAGGTGTTGGGAGCGATTTTGCCAGCAAAAACAATTGGTGAATTTATAGTACAGCACCGGTCTTTCTCTCGCTGTTATTAATATGTAGTTCATAATGTTTAGACAATTCTAAGACATTTATCTTCTGTGATATTTGAACCGGAAAATTAAGGATAATCGAGATATTAATTTTTCAATATTTTTAGATTTGGTCAGTCACAAGTGTCGCCATTTGTTGCTACATCTGGCGGAGGTCTGACCACCTACCACGCAGTGCTCCTTACCTCCATCTTCACTTCTTAAGCATCTACAGAGCATGTGCGAGGGGTGGAGTGGTGTGGGAGTTTCTTATTGGCTATAGCGATAGGAGACTTATTATTGGGCAAGAGTTTTTGTCTTAGCCAATGAACAATGCGTGGGTGCGTCGGAAGTGGAGATTTTAATTTTCAGTACCAGATATGGCTGAACAGGTGGAAGAGCTGTGCTGACATTGTGATAGAGATTATTTTACGTCAATTGTAGAGTTTCATCAGAGAAAATAGTGTTAGGTTTGGTTTTGTTGGTTTTTTATTTATGAGATTTACTCGGAAAAAAATAAAAAAATTTCATTAAGATTGATGGGTAGAGTAGGGTAGGGTAGGGCAGGGGGGGGGGGGTCTAAAAAATACTCTTGATATCCGGCTGAAATGAATATCAAATTTGTTCGAAACTCATCAATAACATCGGAAAAACTTATTTTTTATATGGAAACAAAGGTCGGTCCATTAGTGAACATTTACCAACTTTTTTTTTCCTGATTGAATTTTGCTGCTTTTTTTTGGATTTTTTTCTGGGGAAAAACAAAAAAACTAATGCTTTCCTTATTTAACCTGACCTAACCCCCTAGCAACCCCTGCGTGGTTATATAATGTTGTCAGTATTCAACTTATCCTTATTTAACCTAACATAACGTATTCCCCTTATTGGGGAAACGTTATTTTTCCAGAGTTGAGTCATGTATTATATAGCATGGTAATGTGACTCACACGACCCGCGCACCACCTGCTCCTCCTCCGATGGTATTATAGTATAAATTATACAAAAGAAACACTTCCCCAAAAGAGAAGACTGTCACTACCAATTAACAACAAAAAATATGGTGGAGAAGCAGTGTGTTCTTGGACGATTCGTTGACAGCATTAATATAGATGTTACTCATTGGTTTTCCTAAATCACCAATTTGCACCATAAATGAGGTCAGATTTGAGCTAAACACCATAATAAACACACACAAAAAAAGTATCAATACCTGAGGTCAGCCAATGGACGAATATTTACCCAAATATATATGGTTGCACTGATGAATATTTACTGAATAAATCAACTCAAACTGACTGGTGATCAAGTCAATACTGGTGAAACAAGGCACCGTCACTTGGGGCCCAAACTCACCCATTACACCTTACACGAGCACCCAGGACCACACACTCACCGGGGTGTCGAAGTTGAACATGCACTCATCCTTATAAACCTTGTCCCCGCCCTTGGGAATGAGAATCTTGGTGAAATGGTTCCTGAGCTTCTCCATGGCAGTGACACAAGAGGCCAAACCAAAGCAAGGTTATTATGACCGCGGCGGCTCTCTGACGGTATTAATTCACTTTCGGCAAATTATACTTTGTCAAAGTTAAAAGTAATTTAAAAGCTCAGATATATATACAAAAAGGTGTTAAAATGTCCGCTTATTTGGCATAGATCAATATAAATGGTGTAAATAATTGATGCCGCACACACAACGAGCCTATTTATTGTTGTTTTATTTATTAATTTAAATATTTTCCAATACTATATTTTCATTGTACCTATTACTTATAGTATCCTAAATTTTGTTTACTGATTTAAATATGAACTATATTCACAACGTTTGTAGTTTATGATGTTTAAAATTTTCCTTCTTTGTTCCTGTGAATTGAATATTTGAACTTTGCCGCTTACAGCGGCTAGTTTATTGTGCACCCCATACTCATCCTGTGAGCGGTAGCGCAAAAGGATTACTGGGTAGTGGGTATGGTATACAAAGGGGAAGAATAATTTACCCCCGTGGTTAGTATATTATGGCACTGAATGTTACACAGTATTTCAAAAACATTATTTGTTTAGTTCTATACACAAAGGGTAACTTATTCACAACTGCGTGAGTACAGGGGTGTGAGGCAGTGTGTGTCTGGCCTCACACTCTGTATTAACATTTGCGTAAGAGGTATTCAAGTACTTAGTGTATTTGGTTCTATACATGGGAATTGATATACCTGTAGCTACTAAGTGCAAAAAAGTGGATATAATCTTAATATGTCGACTATCTTGCCATTAGAGATGAAGTGTTGTGCCATTTCACACACAGTGTGCTTGGACCTGTCCCTAAAAGGTTCTATCTTCACACAGTCCAGGACGTAGTGTTCAAGTGTGTGGCCATATGTATGGCCACACACTTTACATTTAGTCTTGTTCACATCTACTTAAGGAACATACTGCCAGAGGTGCTTATACCCTAACCTTAGCCTAGCGGTTATAACATCTTGTAATCTAGTGATCTAGGTACTTGCTCCACATACTGTACATGTTTCACTTGATACATCTCATCATGGTAAACTATGGATCGACTAATGTCTATTTGCACTTGTCTTCTTGCGTCAAATTCATCAATAAGTTCCTTCCTAATTACAGTTTTAAGAGTTCTTTTTGACAAACCAAGATTGTATTCAACGGTGTCTTTGTTAGACGCGAGTTTGGCGAGGGCATCAACTCTGTAATGTTTTATGAGGCCTATGTGAGAGGGGATCCACAACAGTTTGACCCTGACACCCCGGTCAACAAGGCACGCATATTTGTGTCTGGCTTCAGAGACAAGCGCGTGATAACTTGAGTCGAGGGTACCAAGGGCAAGTAGTGAGGATAGAGAGTCAGTGATGATGAGACTGTCAGTAACAGTGGTTTCAATGAATTTAATAGCTGTGAGTATGGCAACTAATTCAGTTTCTAGAGTGGATGCCCAGTTGTTAATTCTAACTCCTTTCTCAATTATATTACCGTCAGGTTGAGTCACAACAATAGCACTTCCAGCCCTCCCACAGGCGGTGTTAAGAGATCCATCAGTGTAGATGGTCTGTGTGATATTATCATCAGTCTGTAGAGTGTGTATGTGTTCAAGAGCTCTCACTTTGGCAGTGTGTTGGAGATAAATACTTTGTATAATTAATTTTTAGGCGGATATGTCGGTATTGTGATATCGAGGGGAACTGTCCGCCAGGGTGGCAGGAAGCGCTGTTGTGTCTCAGCTTTGTACAGGTGTTCTAGTCCAAACATCTTCATATGTGTAGCTGTAGTTTGGTTCCATTTAGATTCACCAGTCCTATGGTTCACACATTCTAGCAATTTTAAGGAAACAATGTTATCAGGATCACCACGCAGAAGCCTCAGGGCTATCATGAGGTTGACTTAGTTATTCTATCTTTAACACTGGGTATACCTAGTTCTTTCCTCATATTAAGTACTTTAGTGCTCATGGGACACCCTAGGATAATTCTGAGGGCTTTATTTTGCATTTTTCTCGAGCTTGTCAACGCCTTTACCGTCACGAAGGACCAGGGCTGGTGCGTGGTAATCTATCAGAGATCTTACATAGCCTTGGTACATTGTTTTAACAATTCTAATATTAGCACCATAGTGCGGGCTGTACCCCGCTACACTTCTAAGAGGTCTCAGTCTGTCAGTACATTGGCGGGTTAGCTGTTGTATGGCAGGTAGGGTACAAGGGACGGAAACACCAAGATATTTAAAAGAAGAAACATAGTCAATAGTGTTGTTACCTATCTTGAACTTGGCGGGGCCGCGTTTGCGGTTGCCAGCGTGTTTGTTGAACACCTTAGTTTTCTCAGTGGAAATAATAAGACCGAGGTTCTCACAGGCTGCGTATACATGGTTCAGGGTGGTTTGCATTTCACGATGAGTTTTAGTTTGTATAAGAATATCATCAGCATAGCTGATTGTGACATTGCTGGGGTTGTCTGGTATTAAATTTAATAATGCATTCATAAGAACATTGAATAAAGTGGGGCTAAGTACTCCACCTTGAGGGGTACCACTGTGACACTGATCGTCGACTTGTCAGAGCCAAGCTCTCACTTCACATCGCCCCAAAACGGCGAAGACAGCAAGCCTCCAGAAGAGGTTTTAACACTAAGCGTCTGGAGGATCCAGCGGTAGCACATGCTTTCAGAGAGCAACTCGAACATGGGCTGATAAACAACCCGGCAACAAACAACCCAAATCCCAGTGCCGAATGGGGTATTCTCAACACTGTCATGACAAAAACCTGCAGAGACCCTCGGCCAGATCGAAAGAATACAACAGGACTGGTTTGATGCAAATGACCCGGCAATCAATGTACTCATCAATGTTAAACTTGCTGCTTTAACTGACTGGCAGAACAACTCTAAGTCTCGGACCATAGCTGATACCTTCCGCAAGAGGAAAACGGCGGCCCAGCGGGAGTTTCGTATTCTAAAGAATGACTGGCTTAAAATTAAAGCATGTGGAATACCAAAACATGCAGATCAGCACAAGATGAGCGAATTTTTCAATTTCATTAAAACATTTTATGGGCCAACCACTCGTGGGGCAGTTCCCCTCCTCTCATCTGACGGTAGCTTCATAATTAAAGACGATGAAGGCCTCCTTCAGCGCTGGAAAGAGCACTACCATTCATTGCTCAATCGAAACACCGATGTGCATGTCATGACTACCCAACAGGTCCCTCAGCATCCAGAGCTGACCCACCTCAGCTATCCTCCAGCCCTGTATGAGGTAGGTATTGACATCAAACAGATGAAAAATAACAAAGCCTCAGGGCCTGTTGGAATTCCAGCAGAGGTGTATAAAGCAGGAAGACCTCTGCCTACCAGCCGTCTCCACTCTCTCCTGGAGAATATATGGGAAAAGGAGGAAATTCCCCAAGCTCTTAAAGACGCCTCCATAGTCAACATTTATAAGAACAAGGGAGACCGGTCAGACTGTGGCAACTACCGTGGTGTCTCGCTGCTGTCCGTAGCTGGCGAGATTATCGCCCGAGTCCTCCTAAACAGACTTCTTCCTGAGCACTACAAATCAGCACCACAACACAGCACCACAACACAGCACCACAACACAGCACCACAACACAGCACTACAACACCACAACACAGCACCACAACACAGCACCACAACACAGCACCACAACACAGCACCACAACACAGCACTACAACACAGCATACAACACAGCACTACAACACAGCACCACAACACAGCACTACAACACAACACACAACACAGCACACAACACAGCACTACAACACAGCACTACAACTTTGTACACCACAACACAGCACCACAACACAACACTACAACACAGCACACAACACAGCACTACCAACACAACACTACTGTACAACACTACAACACAACACTGTAACACCACAACACAACACACCACAACACAACACTACAACACAGCACTTTTCTAACTTGCACCTAACACAGCACCACAACACAGCACCTCTGTACAACACCACAACACAACACAACACAACACTACAACACAACACCTAACACAACACCACACACAGCACACTTGCCCTACAACACAACACACAACACAGCACACTACAACACAACACTACAACACAGCACCACAACACAGCACTACAACACAGCAGCACTACAACCCCTGTGTACTACAACACAGCACCACAACACAGCACCACAACACAGCACTACAACACAGCACCACAACACAGCACCACAACACAGCACTACAACCACAGCACCTACAACACAGCACCACAACACAGCACACAACACAACACACCACAACACAGCACCACAACAACACTACAACACAACCACTACAACTTGTACTACAACACAGCACTACAACACAGCACCACAACAACTTTCTAACACAGCACTACAACACAGCACTACAACACAACACTACAACACAGCACCACAACACAGCACCACAACCCCTGGCCTTTTCTAACCCACAACACTACAACAGCACTACAACACCTTTGCTAACACAACACACTACAACACAACACCACAACACACAACACTTTAACACAACATACAACACAACACTACAACACAACACCACAACACAGCACCACAACACAGCACCTGACACAACACTACCAACACAGCACTACAACACAGCACCACAACACAGCACACCACAACACAGCCACTACAACACAGCACCACAACACAACACTACAACACAGCACTACAACACAGCACTACAACACAGCACACCACAACACAGCACCACAACACAGCACTACAACACAGCACTACAACACAGCACTACAACACAGCACCACAACACAGCACTACAACACAGCACCACAACACAGCACCACAACACAGCACCACAACACATACCACAACACAGCACCACAACACAGCACCACAACACAACACCACAACACAGCACTACAACACAGCACACCCCTTTAGCACCACAACACAGCACTACAACACACTACAACACAAAAGTATAAAAAGTAGTGAGAAATGGTAGTAAGTGGGGAGGGAGGGAGGTAGTAGAGGTAGGGAGGGAGGGAGGTAGTA